CTGAAAAGAACTATGTAACATGCAAACCTTATGCACTTAGTTTCTTTTAGCATAAATACGTCCAAATATGATCTTATCTTCCGAAAAGCAATACTTATCAGAATCAATCTATACTCTGTTTTAACAAGAGGGCCTGAAAATTGCCAGAAAGGGAATGACACACTTCCATAAATCACAAGAGGTCTAAAATCTTCCATGACTATTCTAACGTGTGAAGGCGAAAAATTTCCACATTACAGACATGCTCGGCGTGGGTGAGTTGGACGACGAGTTTCCACGCTGACTGTCATCTTTTTATGATTAACGCAGTTCTCTCATCGAGTTAAGTAAACTCTTTAATCAAGAACCGTGAAATTTCGCGTACAGAGCGACCGAGCAATAATAAAACGATTTCCTGTCCTTATCCTCTTTGATCATCATTCATTTCGGCGACGCTAATTTTCTTAATTTAGATGCACTCCATTCAACACGCTCGTACTGAAGAGATATACGACTCCTTGCGGTGAAAAGTCCGTCCAAAAAACGATTGATCGCGACGCGAATAAACGCGGGAGGACTCGGGTTGATGACTTGACCTATTTAACGTGGTGCGAAACCTGACCTAATCTAACCTACATAACGTAGAAAGACAGGATGAAGAAATACATGTAAAAAATGAGTTCAGTACCGCGGCGGCGCACATCTTTTGGGGGACAGTCTAGCATGCTCTAGAGATTTCAAAAAATTGAACTTTCACTTCTCAAATGAAGGTGAATTTTTCCACAATTTCTTAAAACTTGAAAATTTGTTGAGGAACTAATAATTGTGGCCTAGCTAGTTTAGCATGGTTCATGTCAACAGAATGACGGAAGAAAGGCTGCAAAATAAGATGCTTGAGTCGCTCTCTTCACTGGAAAAAAAACACATTGGATCTAGAATCCAGTCTCTTGAAAACATTGACAAGAAAAAAAAAAATACTATTGTTTCAATCGGATTTTTGCTTGAATCAAAATGAAATCCGCTTAAATTAAGAGGCTTGGTTCTTGATTTAAGCTAGATTCTGATTGAATCAAGAGTACTTTTTCTTGTCGATGTTTTTGAGAGTCTGGACTCTAGATCCAATGTGTTTTTTTCCAGTGTTTAGAGGAGACGAAGCGGACGGATAGTAATACGGTAGCGATAGGGAATTTTGCATATGAAGGAGCATCTTCCTGTGAACATGATCTCATTATAAGGGTGCTCCACATAGACCTACCGTCGATACAGTTTAAACTACATGGGCCCTCCGAATAGAAGCTAGGAGCTGCTTGAGAAACGATTTTAAGTATGACCGCCGTAATCATGATCGCAACTTAAACCGCTCCTTTTTGTGAAGAGAGCGCAAGTGGCTCACACTGTGGTTGGGTCAAGTATAGATCCTTTTTCGTGCGACTTTCAACGCTAGACGATACGTTTCTGATTGACTTGGCCACTTTAGGCTACATGAAGCTCTTACTTGCTTCACAATAATGAATGTGCCGTTTAAAACTTGCGCTTCATCATAATAAAATACTGACCGTTAAATTAACCGGTTGCCGGCCACTAAAAAGGCGCCTATAATTTGTCGATCGTTAATTCGGCCTGACAAAAAGAGCATGTGATTGAGCAAAGTCGACCCACGAAGTAACTCCATTTCACTCTCGGATCTACTCCATAACCACGTTCATCGACCCGTTGCTGATCTGCGGGTTGATTATTGAAATTGATAGACAAAGAAGACTTAGGGAGAATGTAGCGAACCTATTGGTGGAAACGGGTGGGTGTTATAGACTAAGGAAGAAAATGATGGACTAACTATCGAGTCTCTTATGGGTTGCCGTTAGTGAGTCTATTACTTACTTCTTCTGTCCATTCCAACCACCTACTTCCACCAAAAGAAGGAAAAAGGATCCCTACATATCTCCTTTTTCCTCTTTGTCTACAGCTTTGTCTCTCAATTTCAATGATCTGCCCGCTGGCGGTTGTCCGAGGGTGTCCGTGGTAGATGGACTTAAAGCTGGGTGCGCCATGCACCCCGAGAGATCGTAGTTAACCGATGAGGAGTGTGACAGACGGCAGGGCCCAGGCGGCTCGTGGCGAGTCGGAACAGTGCGGATTTTGGCAGCCGCGGCTGGGACCCGGGGGGCGGGGGGGGAGCGTCCCGTTGGCACGGGGCTCCCTCGCGGCGCGGCGCGGAACCGCCCTTGACCGGCCGCCGGACCCGCCACCCGAGATCGCGCTCAGTTCCGCCTCCCGGTTCTTCCCGGGTCCGGGTTTCATTACCGACGACCGATGCCCGACGACCGCCTCTCAGAGTTCGTCCATTCCGCACAAGAGGTGCAAATGAACGAATTGACTGTTCAACGCGAGAGTGACCGACTCGCCAACTTCCAAATCCGAGATCTGCTGGACACTGGAAAAAAAAGTCTTTTGGATCCAGAGTTCACCCTCTTAAACAATTTGACAAGAAAAAATACAATTAGTTCAATCGGATATTTGCTTGAATCGAGAGTCAAGCCTCTGCTTTAAGCGGATTTCCTTTGATTTCAAGCAAATATCCGTTATCCTTCATGATAAATTCAATATAAACTGTACCGAAATGTCTTACACACTGTTTTATTGTCAAGCATTGCCTGGATTCACATAGTTTCGCTTCCATTGAATCGGCTAAGAGCTCAATACTTGACTACACTTACTACTTCAATAGCTTTGTTTTCTTTCGATTCTAAATGGTCCTCTTTCCCCCTGGAAGATTTCCAGTCCTGAAATATAGGATTCATATTGGTCCTCTTTTCTCCGTGAGAAAACTCCCCGCTAAGACTGAAAAGAAATCAACGCGGCCAAGCGTTTCGTCGATTTTGGGTGATCTGTATCGGAAAATCGAACCTTCGTCTCACTTACCTTCCTATCGACAAGGATTTTCTTATTATTACCGGTGTCATTTTACAATAACAGAAATACATTTGTGGGTGGTTATAAGCGGCTAAGTGGCGAAGCGTGGATGATTGTTATCGATATTTCCCCATTTGAAGCTATGGCAAAGAATCGATTATTAAGGTGTTCGTTGCAAAGAACCTGTCTATCGATCTTTTTCTAAACGTTAAAATGACATATCAATCGATATACCGCAAAGCACGCCACGCCACTGAAGTGACTACGTGCAAAACAATTGAAACCCGGGGTGATAAATCGGAAATAATTATGTTCCCTACTTTGTTCTCATACGGAAACCAATAAAAATTTCAGGGTTTTTAATTGTTGAAGGGAGTGACACCGAGGCAGCCAGGGGGCGGTACCCGCAGATTTGTTCCACGCAGAGAGAATGCCAATCGCAAGATATCCACCTTGTCTGCTTGTCACGGACGGTCATTAGACGCGGGGGTGGACGGTGGGGCGGGCGGGGTGCAAGCTGCTCCTCTCCCTGGGCCATTGGCGGGTAAGAGGGGAAAGGGCGCCACTGGGTGACAAATAATATTTGAGGTAAAATCGAATGATGTAATGGAATTATGAGTTTGGCTCAGGTCCGAGCCCGCTGCCAGCTCGGCCATTGCTCGCCTCGCCAGCGTCGCACAAAGGAACGAACGCTTTGGAGAGGCTGGACATGAAATATTCGACTTAAAACTGCAAATTTTAGCGTAAATTTCGTAACTTTTTTAATGGGCTGCTGTAATGAGGAAATATTATGAAAAAACCAATGGAATCATTCTGAAACCTTCACGAAGATATGAGCTTTTAAACAGTAGCGTGGCGTGCTTTGCGATATATCGATTGACCTGCCATTTAAAATTATGAATTGAATCGATAAACAGGGTGCTCGCGACGAACACTTTGATAATCGATCTTTTACCATAGCTGCAAATGGGGAAATATCGATAAATCGCAAAGCACGCCACGCCACTGCTTTTAAAGTTTCCTTGTCATGTCTGACCTCTCCCACTGACTTGCTCCACTGTGCGTCGGAGTTTGCGAGCGGGGTCGCATTCTTAGCTGCGAGGAAATCGATTCTCGATGAATTGACCGAAAGTCGATTCGATTAATCGATCAGTTCTATTCTTCCGCGTTGCCGTCTTCATTTATTTAGCAAATTAGGAAGTAGTGCAGGAATGGTATTGATATAATTATGCTTTTTATCCTGCTATATTTTATCTAGTTGAATAAAGCTGATTCCATTAACTATACTTTATTATACCTTCTCAATTTTAAGATTTTATATATAAATAGCTAGGTGTTTAGCTTTTGGTATACACAAAACAAGATGACGACCCTGGGGGAAAAAGGCTAAAATTGACATTAAAAAAACTGATCATGAGACGTTTCGCCCAAACTCTTGGGCATTTTCAAAAGTTCGGAAGTTTGCGGGCGAAACGTCTCTGTTTTTTTAAACGTCAATTTTAGATTTTCTCCCCCCCCCCCGCNCCCCCCCCCCGATCATGTTCTTGCCTTGTGTATTGATCGAGATACTTTAAATTCCCTCATTCCTCTAATACACAGGAGTACTTGTGTCCTGACTTTTATGTTTTTGGTAAATTTGTAGGATTGATGATTGAATAAACCTATATCACAGAAAATGCAAGGTTACTCTTTTATAATTGATATTCGTTGGATTCTACATTAATTATAATCACTTATTCCTTAACCTGTTTGGTGTTATGTGTATGCACAATTGCACAGTTAGGGTGTATTCACAGTAGTGTTAATGTTATGGACAATGACACAAAAATTGGGATGAAAACTGTAAAAACACACACATATAAAAAAACCGTATGTTTCGGGGCTAAGCAACCAACCTTTTCGGCTAATTATAAACCTAAAAAAACTACCTCCTCCCCATCTCGCCAATGCTTAACCTATCACACTTCTGTGTATATCACACCAACCTTTCCCTTCATGTTATTGAAAACTTGTAAAGTTTTATTAGAGTTTATCAACGTATGGACATCTATCTCCCTATTTTCTCTTAGATATGGTAATTTCAATACTGTATATTGTTTGTATGTTTGCAGAGGGAAGTTCGGAACGGTGTACAAGTGCAAGGAGAAGGCGACCGGGCTGGCGCTGGCGGCCAAGTTCGTTGCGGTCGGGCGTCGTCAGGATCGGAAGAACGTGGAGCGGGAGGTGGAGATCATGCGGGAGCTCCAACACCCCCGGCTCATCCAGATTTACGACGCCTTCGAGTCCAGTAACGTCATGTGCGTCGTCCTCGAGCTGTAAGTAACCAAAAGCCCGCTAGCACAGTTTGTATCATATTCATACACTGGTAAAAAATACCTCTTGGTTCAAGAGTGCAGTTTCTTGTCGCCGGATTTAAGAGTCTGGACTCTTGTTTCAATGCAAAATCCGCTTGAAACACGAGTTCAAGACTCTTAAATCCGGCGACAAGAAACTGCACTCTTAAGTCAGTGCAATGTGGCATTGGTCCGAGAGGTTTTTTTTACCAGTGTAGTATTCATCATTTACTAGTACTATCACAATTAATTTGAAATGTCTATATTATCCAACAACCTCGAGCTGATGAGAAAATGTTTTACAGGAGCTTATACCACTACACAAGTCGTGGAATTGGTAAAATTTAAACATTTTTAAAAAATATACAAAAATTTTAAAAAAATGAAAAGCACTCTCTTGCATAAAATTTTATACAAGTGAGTGCTGTTAAGTTTTTTATAAGTTTTGTAGAATTTTTAAATTTTACCAACCTCGAGCTGTTTTCTCTCCGAGAAAAATAACGAAATTCGAAATGAAACAAACGGGAGACCGAGGTGACAAAATGTAGCTAATCTATAAGTGAAATAAAGAAAACCGGAAAATTAAAACTCGCAAATCTTAAAATGAGATCTGTAATGTTGCATCATAAAGACCTTACTTTTCCCAAACCTGGAGTGGAATTCAGGGTCGCAACTTTTGAAATGGGTCCTTGAAAGAGATTACATTAATTTACCTTCACACACCAGAGTACCTATATAGGGCGAGTGCGAACATGTTGGTATTGGGAGGTTAGATCATGGAACTTTTAAGGCCCAAAAGGGCAGCCGACCTATGTATTGAAATTATTCAGAGTGATTCATTATTACAGTTGTTACGACCCGTCGTTCGTATAGCACGAATTTCACGTAGTTTTGGCATAAATTTACTCATTACTGCGAAAGAACACTTATTCATGAACATTCTTGGCCATCTTGGTTTGGTGTTGGAATCTGAAGATCGGTAGTGGCATTTTTTGTGTTAGAAGGTTGGCTGCCCTAAGAGCCCCATATTTCGACGTGTTCGTAATTTCCGTGCTCTCCCTGAATAGGTACTCTACCACAAAGAATAAAACATACGAACACTGCGCGAGTGTTGTAAATTTTAAGGTAGGTTTGCTAAAAGTTCAAACGCGCGAGACGTGAACTCACAATTTCCGCTCTTATGCTGATAGTTAGGAGTCGCGCAGATTCGGGAGAATCGTTAAGAAAACGAGGATTGGTTAGATCTTTCCTATCTTCGGCTGTGCATGTCACTCATGTGGCCCTTGGAACACCGCGCTACAAATAGGACAAACGGAACCGATATAACATGGAAACAGAGCGAGGGAACAGGCGCGCGTTGACGACGGGGCAGAGATACAACTATTCGTACTTGATGGATGTCCGTGTTGTATCAGCAAAATTGAAGGCGCGATGGCGCGAGCGTGAACTCGCAGTGCTCCGCTCTATGCTCTGCTGCCAAAGAAGTGTCGCTCAGATTCGGTAGAAAAGTTGAAAAACGCGGTCCGGTTACTTTGCTCCTATTATTAACAACTGCTGATAATCAATTTTTTCCCCTTTTCGTTCTAAAATTTTCAAATTTATGTCTAATTCTTTTTTAGGATTGGTTTTTAAACACGGAAGCTTGTATGTGCCGGCCCCATACAGTCGGCACGCCACTTTTCTTGGCAAGCCTCGGGTCAATTTGTCCCGGCTTGGGAATTTAAAGAACAATATAAAATTACCATTTTCTTTACGACTAGAAACACAGGTAGAGCTAAAGTTGAGAACTTGGAATTCACTAGAAGCACTACAAGTGAAACAATGAGTTCTACATGGAGAAAAAATCATCGACCTTGTAAGGGCTCTGTTTTAAATAGAAAAGAGAGTAAAACCTTGCAAACAATTCGGTCGTTATGCCGACGAGGGAGCCCAAATTTATACCAAGCTTGCAAAACTGACCCGAAAAATTTAGTTTACTACAGGAATATGAAAATGCGGTCTCTGGCTAAAGTAGTTCTGATTCTTGTGAGAAATCAGGTGCAAAATTAGAGATATTTTCAGTTAGAAATGTCCAACAGTTTCCTGATAAAAATGCAATTTTCGAGTGTACATTTTGTGACTTTGAAGAGAAATTAAATTGAACCGTTTAAAAAACGAGTTTACAGGAAAAAAACTTACTGCGACTACCAGGCCAAGAGTGATTTTAGCACGAGGATATTGGAAAATTGCATAACTGTTCGCGAATAACACGATTGACGTGTGTAGGTATTGCATACGTTCTCTAACAACGTAATGAAGGCCTCATAAACTGTCTTCGAATGAGTTGTTGTCAAAAACCGACGTAGTGACGCGTCAAAAACACAGTGCGTGAATTTTCGTAAATTTCTCCGCTTCGATGAAAACTCGGTCCCGATTTCGCCTCCCAACTACGCAGTTGTGCCCCTCAAATCCGCTGCCTCTCGGTCGATCGCCCGTGGCCCTGACCCCTTGCTGTCAATCCCTCGTTTGATCCCCGCAACCGTATTTTGATGCACTCATTCACCGAATCCATCGATGAGATGACCCACTCCCGACGCCGGAATATTGAGCGCACGGCTGCCGCGTTTTACACATTTTCATGATTTCCGAGTGCTGTGACCAAGAGTATTGTCTGGCGGATAACGTCTCACTTGGGGTTGATCTCCAGTGCCTTGGAAAGGGATTTGATAGCCGACCGATAGTTCAAAATTTTTGGGTTTTCTCAGGCAGAGCATATCATATGCTGAAATATGCTAAAGTTTAATAATTATTGAACAAAACTTTTTAAAATATAACTACTAACTATATGAAAGTAGAGACAATTTACTAAAAGTTTTGGACTGGATGCCTAAAATAAAATTTATTAGCCTACGCTGTTCCTGTAGAATAAAGAGTTAGTGAAACAGTAAAAACGAAAGCTTGAATAAAAACGTCTGGTATTTTCACACAAAGTTTGACCCAGAAACACCTCGGAAAAATCCAAAAATACGTCCCGAGTGAATATTGCAAATCATTTTCCGTTCCGATTTTCATTCAGAAAGTAATTTTAAAGCTAAATCAGAGTTTTTTTTTCTCTTTTTTTTTTTTTTCATTAAATTGTCCGCATCATTTTCTGACGTGATTCGTGGTAAATGATAAGCGGTGTCCTATAAAATCCAGAATTAGCCAATGAATCCGATCGATCAACGATCGAAATGGAATTTTGCACGTGAGGAGTCATTTCACGAAAAGAGTGGTAGATAATACTTCATACTCTGCCCTTGCGAGCAAAATTTGTGTATAAGTACTAACAATACTTGTGTTTATGTAAAATAATCATACTAACGACAGTGGGTGGGTATGCCACTCGAAAGGACCATTTAAGGACCAGTGCAACGTAGACCTGCACCAAAGATAACAATCACTCTCATATTTATCAGTGACGATGGGGTCATTTGTACATAAATTCAGTTGATTGTTAGTTAAAGAGTCCTTGCTGCATATCTTGATCACCATGCCTAAACATTAACTTTATTGGACATTTTAGGCAGACTGTTTGAGGTGCCAGCATCCGGCATGAGATCAACATATACTGTCACGAACGAAACATGCACCGAGGACTTTACTCGTAGATTTCATCAATTTGCCTATAACCATAAAAGACAGTAGAGGGGTTCATCTTTTTTAAAGACATCAAAATTGGGAAACAAGACAGTTTTTTGGGCAGGCTAGGCAGACAATGAACTAAAATAGGAAAGATAAATAGTTAGACAGGATAACCGATGGTCACATCCGTTAACTCTATAAAATGGGAGGAATCGACTGATTCTGAATAAAATTACGAGAAATTATTAAGCGTGTCACAATGATGAAGTGACGATTATTTCAATGAACGGGCTTTAAGTGCAGAAGATTCAAAGCCTGTGCGATGTGAAAATATTCCCACAAGGCGTCTTTTTTCTCATTTTCAGTAACTTGTAAATTTTTGCCCCCATGAAAATTCATAATTGCGCCACTGCGTTTTTGGCCAAACGACACACTATTACTAGGCGTTGCAAAATGCTCAAGCCGGTTACATCAGCGTTTTTTTTTTTTTTTTTTTTTTTTTTTTTTGTTTGTTTTTTTTACTACTTCAAATAGCCCACAAGGGCTAATCCTTGTGGGAACCCGGGACCTCCCGGTCATAGAGCCAGCGCTACAGCCGCACTACGCCATAGGAGGCCGACACAAAGGAGCGTTATCACAGCATTTGAATATTATTTAATGTATTTTATATTACTTTGTGAAATAAATTAGGTTAAGTGAATGTCAGTTAGATGGTACACTGATTTTAAACGTACACTGGAAAAAAAAAGAATCTTAAATTTGCCGCCAAGAAGTATTTCTTCTTAAATCAAGAATCTTGCTGGTTAATATAAGCTACTTTTTCGCTTAACCCGAGCATTATTTTTCTTGAATCAAGAAAAAATCAGCTTAAAGCAAGATAAAGAAAATTCTTGGCGGCAAATTCAAGAATTATCATGTTTGATCCAAGCTACTTTTTTTTTCAGAGTAAATGGGGAGGTAGACCTTAAATTTGACGACAGTGGTGGAAATATTATTTTAGCGAAAAGACACGACTCTGGGGGAGCATTGAATAAACTTTTTTGGCACAGCTCACGGCTCAACTTTGATGTGTTCCACAAGTTTGTTTTGAAACAACCTTCTTCGTATGGGTTAGGGGCAAAACAGAGGCTAACTGTTTGTTCGGCAGCTTTTGCGCTCGTGCAACTTTGCCGGACCGCGTGTTGAAATCGGCATGCTTTATGCGCAGTCTAATGAAGAAATTGTTGATTCATAGCATCATTCGGCAATACACCGCGGGAAATTCGACCAAAATCGACACCTTCGCATCGGGAGCAAGCTATTTTCGCGGCCGTTGTGGAAAACGCTGTGGTGAAGCATAGTAATTAGTTACGGAGGAACCCATCGTAAATATTGTGTTTATGGCCGCGGTAGTGCGATCTGCATTTCTGCCGCCACAGGAAAAACGCCGTATGAATATTCGGAGGTTGCCGAATTCCCTCAGATAAAAAATTATTTTTGAATGAAGTTATCAATACCGACAGCTCACCCGATAGAGGAAAGCTGGCACTTTCAAAGCTTCCCCAGTCTACTATAGAGGCAAAAACTTAATGACTAACAGCGAATCGGCAAATATCTGCCTTATATTTCGGAGGAACAATAGGAATTGCAATTATTTTCATCGGTTTTTCCCGATAAAACATTGATCATATAGAATTTGAATAACCACTCTGAAATTTACTCCGCCCTGTAGATTTTTCGGAGTTGACGGTTTAAATTTTGAGAAACATGCATTTCTATCTGAGTTTTTCTAAACTTCCCTAATTTCAATCGGGTTTGATAAAAACCCGTCTACTTTCTTCAAATTGGTTGCGTTTACGGCGAAGAATGCACTCATATTACAACATTTTTATTAATTGATTACTTTAATCCCTCCCTCCCCCTCCCTCTCTCTCCCCCTCTTTAAAATTTACTGTCTACAGAAAAATTACAACTTGTATTTGAAAGTCCCGCAAATTGCCTCTCTCATACCTATACGGATAAAAAAAGTTCGCTAGTTTTTAATTGAAATTTTCAGTACACTAAATTAAAATTGCGAATATCAAAATTTGAATATTTCAGAGGGGAACCCTCGCCAGTAGCCTAGAATGGTCATACTTCATTCGGAAAAAATTGGCAACACCCGTTCGTTAACGCGACGTTCTTCCTCAGCAGCAGCACAACCGTGCAGAGGCGGTGCAAAACTTTTCCGCGTCATAGATCTTACAACATTATTGAAACTTTAAGCGCCGACCTTTCATCTAATTTTAAATAAATCTGAAACATGCGCTTGCTGCTCCATTCCGTTCTCTGTACTCTACGACGCCTGTCGACTTTTCGACTGATCGCACATAAAAAACTGCAGGAGAATAAGATTTAAAAGCTCTTATCTTCAAGAAACAGTACTCTTGCGCAAGCAAATGGTGTAGCATTCCGATAGAGAGTGACCCAAGAGCGGCCCCATTAAATTTCGGTGCACTATGAATCCTTTACCCGAGTCGTCCGGTTTCCGACAGTGGTGTGGCGTGACTTACGATATATCGATTGTTATGTCATTTAAACCTATGGAAAAGGATCGATAAATAGGGTGTTCGCAGCGAACACCTTAATAATTGATTATTTACCATAGGTTTCAATGGCATAACAATCGATATATCGCAATTCACGCCACGCCACTGGTTTCCGAGCTTTCAGACCCGAGGCCTGCCGTAATCAGATAGAATGGAGGACCCGGTAAGAATTAGACGTATAAAATATGTCCTCGACGAATTTTCACGCAGGAGACCTTGAACATACCGAAAACTTTCAAAAATTAAGTCATAAGTGAAAAATTGACGTTTGTAGTATACTTCGCGTAAATAGTAAATACCAATTTCAGGCTTCATCCATCAGACCATAATCAATGTAAATCAGCCATTAAAAACAACTTTTACGGTAGGTAATTCACTTGGAAATGATTTCACGCACATTTCCTTCCCCTTCTGATGTAAAACACTTTTGATCAAAAAAATCAGCACACAGAAGAATTTTCCCATAGAGGAGTATACCGAAATTATTTTAGTGCTCTATTTGACTAAGTAGACTTTGGTTTTTTTGTAAGCGGAAAACGTGGATGGTGCAGGGTGCACAAAAAACGCTGTTTTCTCGCTGCACGTGTACACTGATTTCGGAAAGTTTCAACGAGTCCATCGTTCTCTACATATTTTAAGAGGGGAACATGTTTTATGGTGCTAGAGGTCCAATTAGCATTCGCGTCATGCCAATTTAAAGTGGTTTCTTTTTTTTATGGGGGGGGGGGGACAATGAGTACATGTGCAACAGTTTTTACATATGCTGAGTGGAGACGCTTTGGGGAAGAAAAAATTCTTATTCTGCACTTTTTCCATTCTTTTTATCTTTTCTTTGTCACTCTCCTTCTTGTCTTATTTCTCTACAGTTTATTATTCTTTCCTCCTCTTTTTCTTATTCTCTTCCTTCTCCCTATCTTGCTCTTGATTCTAATGCACCCCCGACTAACACGCGAATTGCGCACTTAAGTGTCTTTTTCCTTTCAAACCCTCGGTCGACATTGACATCATTCTCAAAATTCCTAAAAAGATAAACCACGGACCTTAACTTTTAATGAGTGTGCTTAAAACTAAATTGACTGATTTGATCGTGTTTCAGGATAGAGGGCGGCGAGCTGTTTGAAAGAGTCATCGACGATGACTTCATTTTGACTGAGAAAGCTTGCACAGTCTTCGTCAGACAGATCTGCGAAGCTGTAGAATTTATGCACTCCAAAAACATTCTTCACTTAGACATGAAGGTATGTTACTTTTTTCTTCCGAACAGTGGGAAATCTTCACGGTAGCGGTTAAAATTCTTTTAAATGACAAAATTATAGTCGTAATGAATAGATCACCTGTAGCAGGAACTTGGGATCCACTTGAGAGCCACCCCCCCCCCCCCCTGAATACTAAATTGCTATTGTGTTTGTCTAGAATCAACTTACAAAAAGCTCTTGAAGTCTAGACCTTCTAGGTCACGGTTCGTCAGGTAAATACACGAGAGACTCAATCGTTGTTCACGCATTGCGTTGTTGATCGCATGTTCACTATGCAGAGATAGAAAAACTCAATGGGCAGAGCTACTATTACTGCAAGCAGAAAATGTGTATCTTGAAATTTGAATGGTACATTGTGTTTAGCCCTATCCGCACGGAGACCCCATACATACGGTGATTCTCTGATAGTCTTGAGATTGGCTTACGACATCATTACGATCTCAGTTTCGAAAACCTTGTATGAGCTTGAAAGTTGATTTCGAAGAATACCAGTGGTGTAATATTCTCTTCATAATAAGTATGCATAAATTCGGACGAATTTTATCTGCATGAAAAGTTTAGGAAAACGACATACTTACATAAAACACGGTTGAAAAACATACACGAAAATTATAGGAAAGCATACAAAATCGGACGAATCTGGATACCAGTGGCACCATCGTGTTTCTCGCGAACTTTTACATGAGAATCAATAGTCAAATTGCAAATTCTTCACACATGCAACATCTCCATTATGCCGAAATTATCTCTACAAGTATGGTAGTAAAATCCGACCGTTTAGGAATTTTCGTACATCATCAAGTGGAATGGTCACTAATGGTCAGGTAAGGAAAACATTTTTTGAAAGGAGTGCGATTTGCCTCTAATTTTCCCGGTTTTTAAAAATTTTCGGCGGAGAAATTTCAGTAGAGACGGACTACGAACTCAGGCGCGAGCTAACTAGGGATGGAATTTGGGAGACTTCTCTGGATTCCGGCTCGGCTAGACAGACTAGAATTCGTTAAGAGGGTATTTCGGTTCGGCCTACTGAGCAATTTAGTGCCTTGATGCCAGATCAACCGTTTTCCCGAGATTTTCCAGCGAATTCGTCAGCGCTTTCCCTACCAAACAAAGAGGCAGTATCCTCTTACGTTTTCGATTTCACATTAAGATTTACTCTTTGAAATACCCGTTTAAATTAAAAATATTCAGTCCAGTTTATTAGTATCGACTAAGATACAACATTTTGGCACTAATGGTATGCCACGTTCGCTAAGCGGCCGCAACTGTGAATTTTATTAACAGAGATGTCCATTCTCTAAATTTAATCAGAATTTTTAAAACGAACGTGCCACGATCTGTGCACCGCGCGGTAACGCCAGGGTTTGCAGGATTAGAAGGTGACCGACTGAGGGAAATAGAGCTATGGTCTACGGGTGGACAATTTTTAGGGGAGTTAGTTTATTTAGGGTTTAGTCGAAGAATTGGCATTTGAGACATTGACGAAAAACTCTTGTTGGTGACTGAAATCACATTGAGTACGGTACTGCTTTTTATGTGCTGGTAGAATGTGTAAAGACGTTCAATAATTTAGTAATTTTATGCTATGCACATGGAAAATTAGAATGTCACAATTACCTATCTCCAACTCAAAACTTAGGTTTTTGGAACTGCAATTTTTTTTGTTTTTCTAAAGTTTCTCTTGTCACAAAATTTTCGGAAAATTCACAAGTACCTAATGTAAAGACTAGAGTCGATTGCTCTATTTTCAATATTTTTTCTGAACTTGGTTCCCTGTCCCTTTCCACGGTCTCAAAGGGTGAGAAAATCAGATTTAAAATTATCTGATTAATCCAATCAAAAATTTGGGAATAAAGATACAAGTTTTTTTGAAAAATCGGGATTATTTAACGCGGGAGAGCAAATGCATAAGATAAACACTGGATTTCTGAAATGTAATATCCATGTTTAATTGGATATAGGATTATATTTCGAACGGACACTATGTCCACAGTAATTTACTGCTGTTCCTACAGGACTTAAGTGTACCTTTTGGATATTTACATTGAAATTTTCAAAGATGATTTGAAATGATTTATGATTCCAGTGATTCTTCTAAATTTCATTTATCGCGTCCAACATCAGTGTTTTAAAACTTCAGTTGCCTTTTGCGCTCACAATGGCACCACTGACGTGCTGAACAATCGGCTCCAGGTGGACCGTGGAGCGCGTGTTTCATAGACTTGGCTGAAATTCAGGCGCTTGATCCCTGGGCCGTACGAATTGCAGTCAACTTGAGTTCGATACGCCTTAACTGCTCTCCACCGCGCTAGTTTCAAGACCTGCTTTAACATTTCACTCTCCTTGAGAACAGATTGCCATATTGAAATTCCAAATCACGTAAATTGAAAAATGTCAAGGTTTGATACACCATATCGATAATGACATGTCAGCATCCTACACTGGAAAAAAAAGCACATTGGATCTAGAGCCAGACTCTTGGAAACATTAACAAGAAAAAATACTCTTGATTTAATCGGATTTTTGCTTGAATCAAAACGAAATCCGCTTAAATTAAGACGCTTGGTTCTTCATTTAAGCTAGATTCTGATTGAATCACGAGTACTTTTTCTTGTCGATGTTTTAAAGAGTCTGGACTCTAGATCCGATGTATTTTTTTTCCAGTGCTTGATTCCATGAGACGTTCCTCATTGAATTTACTTCAAAAAAACCGAATAGGTAGAAATTTCAAACTAGTTATCACCGACTATTTTTGTGATAACCACTTCGATACGGTCGAGGGAAAGTCAGCTATCTCTCCGATACGCCCGTTTATTTACAGATGGTGCAAAAGGAAAGACTTAAAAATGATTTAAAGATACCCCCTGCCGACGAAAGTAGCCTCTACCTCTCATGAGTGGCGCCTAAGTTGGAAGTATGAGGCGATATCACACATCGGATGAAAAACCTCACAAAACCCATTATATTATTTTCTATGTACGTCTTTTTTGAAAACCGCCCACGCAGTTATATCACTTCTGGCTAGCGGCGACAATTTCTCTTTCGTTTGATAAATGCGAGAAGGTGCTAAGATTTTAACGTCCCATTCGTCATCTCTGATTTCAGCCGGAAAATATTCTGTGCCTCACGAAGACGGGGAACCGCATCAAGATAATAGACTTCGGGCTGGCGCGAAAGTTCGATCCTGGCAAGAAGCTCCAAGTTCTGTTCGGCACCCCCGAATTCGTCGCCCCCGAAGTGGTGAACTTCGACCAGATAGGATTTGGCACTGACATGTGGTCCGTCGGCGTCATTTGTTACGTTCTGTGAGTACGAAAAAACATCCTCCTTAAATATCAATGACAAAGTTGCAGATTTGGAAAACGTTGCCGTGTTGGTTCTGGCGAAATAGATAAAAACTCGGGAAACCCTTTTCATTTGATTTGTCGGCGTCTATTTATACGTTTTCGCCGGGGTCGTAGCGCCCTGCTCCGTTGTTTTTTCTCTGACACTAACTCCCCCTCCACCCCGCTTCACACTCCCACAGGTGAATAAATTTAATTGAGGCTTCGTGCCAATTACGATACACCCGCTTCCGACAGCGGCAATCGATGGTGCAATTACGAAAACACATAACTCGACAGCGACGTTGCAAAATCTCCTCTTGCACTTTATCCAGTGATTTTAGTGAAAAATCACAAATATCTAAAAACAAATTCATTGTTGCCAATTTGAGGTTAGCTCCAGCGATGCAATTAAACACATTTCCCTCCCAATATATTCTGCACCACATTGAATTATGGGCTGATTAAAGTGAAATGAAAAGATATTCTCGGAATATTTCAAATATTCGTATGCATTTTCTTGAAAATATGTTTCCAGCGGTACAATACAATCAACATCAAAATATTACAAGAAATACAGTGTAATATGAAAATAAAATAATTAGCAAAAACGTTTGTGTTGTAATTCGTTGCTCCTCTCACAAAAGAACGTAACTACACTTGAGTGTTGCCAAATATTTCCACGCAAATATTTATATCAGGAGAGTTTTGGTATTTTCTATCTAGAAATTTCACTGATTTTTCTTTTGATCCCGTGCAAAAATCAGAAAAGTGTGCTACACAGATTTTGCAGGTATATTCTCGTAAAAAATAGAATTGATAGTGTAAATTTTGCGACCTTGGAATGGAGATACTTTCCTTTGTTCGGGTAGCGACGAATAGAGGTCGTGATTTTCTGCTTTCATCATGGATATAATTTACTTAGTGTAGAGAAAAAATAGTTTAATTCAGTATACCAGGGTAAGATATTCTAGTAAACAAGAAAACGACCGTTATATTCATTTGTGAATCAATATATTCCACAGATTATCGGGTCTATCTCCATTTATGGGCGAGAATGACGTTGCAACAATGGCCAACGTGACTATCGCCACGTACGATTTTGACGATGATGCATTTAGTACAATTTCCGAGGATGCTAAGGACTTCATTCGCAGGCTACTCCTCAAAGACAAAGAGTAAGTAACTATTCATAAATTACGCATATATTCTAAAACAAAATTACAGACGACTCACAAGAATTCTGAATTGAAATAATGATAAATCCGGAGAAAATTTCGAGAGGCTGCAAGTAGAAAGTTATATTGAGGATGCGATTTAATGGATAAACAGATCGAATTGAATGAATCCAAAGTTGCATACACAATTGACAATTCAGCAGCATAATTATTGATTTAAAAGTAAAGTCGGATATGATCAAGTAAAAATATTGTTGGTTCACTCAACATTCGGGTTCATTCAATCGGATGTCGCAGCTTGAATGTCCGAAAATGCTGACATTGTGTTCTTTTAATCAAATGCAGAATTGAATTTGATAGGAACTTTTCATAGTGAATATTGTCGAACTCGCGAATCATAAAATGCTCATGGAAACGACACCAAAGAGTAGTTATGCTAGATCACATTTACGTTCCATTTGGTTGTCCATTTCAAGATGATTGTGATATTCGTATATTTAGTTTACATGCCATTTTAAGCGGGATATAGTGCCAATTCATGAAATAATGTCTGTAAGGAAATTTTCTTTCTCGCTTTTAATCGAGAAACATGGGTGCTGATTAAGAAGACGATTAACCAGGTGCACTGGCGGATCCAGCGGTTTGGGAACACCGGATTTCCTCCGTTCAAACCTATGGAAAAGTATCGATTCTTGGAGGGGCCAGTGCTCCGACAAGAATCGATTATTTAGCATACGTTTAAATGGAAAAAATTAGGTGTTGCCAAATTGCGAGATCCGCCTCTAACCAGGTGTTTTCCAAGCGAGTTGTTACACATATGGATAATTTTGTCGTGCAAGGAAAACAGTAACCAAATTTGTAAAAATCGTAGGTTATCACGGAAGATCAGTGTGACAATATCAACTAAATTCCGGGCTGCATTTGGTGCCAGTCAGGAAAGTAGTTGAACCAGCCGGAGGTACGGTTGGTTCAGCCGAAAATGTGGTTGAATCAACCATACCTCTAGCACTAGCTGGTGCCTTCACGTCTCCGGCTAGCGCCAAAATCAGTCAGATTGAGATTGGCATACTTTTTTTTTCGTTATGGCAACATATTTAGATTGAAATATCCATGGATTTTGCTATTGCAGCTAGAAACGATGGTACTTTACTCTCCCCTTTAGCCAAAAGTCTTGGACTTGATTAGCCCTAGCCGAACGTAATACATGATTAAATAACCGATTTTAACGATTCTCAGCGGCAATTATTGTAAGTTCAAAAAAAACCGTTTACCCACCATTCAAATATATTATAAATATCGATCCTACGGCTTCCGGACTTGGAATCGATTGTATTACATGCATTTAAATGGAGGAAAAGCACAGTTTCCAACTCGCAAGAGCGCCACTGTTAATTTCTAATCAGGTACCACTTGAATCCATGGCTACCGGTTCGTTTGATGAAGGGTAAATCCAACGGTCCTTTACGAACAGTTACTAATAGTATAGATTGGTATGAGCAGAATACTGTGTGCAGTTAACTGAAATGGAAAATTTTGCGTTTTAAACACAATTATCGTGTGCTACGCCTTAAAAACTCCATGAGACAGCACTCAATTTAGGCGTGACAAAGACCCATTTATGCTTTTAATATATCCTGAAGAAATTTGGCTAACGCTTCATTTTCATTTATCGATTAATCCCTATGATCTTTCGCTTTAATTGCCAATACTTCATTAGCAAACCCCTCCTCTCGGTTGTATCCTCTCTGCATTACAGGCAGACTGACTTAAATAACTTGCTCAGTATTTGCTTCGATCACTTGGATCACTTCTTCTTGCTTTTGAGTACTTTTCTGCCTCCGTTTGAAAACCTCCTCTTGTATTTTGCAATTTCTTGCACTCCTCAACTCCTTCGCTCTACTTAATCTTCATCACCAAGAAACACAAGAAAAAGGTCCTTCTCATCCATGATACAAACAAGCCCCAAAACTCACTTTTTCTCATATCTTAAAATTCGAATGCGCATTAACGCGTGCAATGCTCCGTCATTATAAACGATACTCCTCTCATCTCATTTTCAACCTCCAAATTTTCTTACGTTTCCTTCGGGATTCAACAATACCTCTCGTTTTGCACATCTTCCAAGCATGAAAAAAATAACGATTTCATTTAAAATTGATTCTTCTCGTATCCTTTGCAAAGCTATCTCCCAACCTGCACAAGATGTATTTTAAAGAGGAGCAATACTTATCATATGCAAAACTCCGGTTTGTTTTCAAAAGTTCTTCACTTCAAGCTCGGTAGTTCATTCAAATATAGTATTGGAAAGTTAGTTCAAGTAAAGCATTATTATTAAATATTAATTTTCAAGCACCGGTGCAATTAAATCTCATCTAGAGGCGGTTTTTGTCTTCCTCATGAGAAAAATACACACACTCTCTTTTACTTATAACTTGTATTCCTCTACTAAAGAAAAGAAACCGAATACCTAAATAGTAATAAGAACAGAATTCAAAGTGAGATATCTCCCATGTCCTCGGACGTTTGCCCCTTCCAATTGACAGTTCATTTTTAATGTTCGGAAGAGAGCTTCCTAGAGCATTGAAATCAGAATCAAAGGAGATATTTTAGTTTCTCAATGATATTCATATCGATAATGATATTTTAAATGGACCACTAGACAGACCACTAGAAGTTAAGTATTCTGATACATATTTCCTAACCCAAATTACTCGTAGAGTGCGATTTATGCAATGAAAATTACTGAAATCAACTCCTAGCTGATATATATTAAGCGTTTCTTAACGCGTGAATTGAAACCTCCCGCTCATGAAAACACAATGGCCTGCGTGAGTCAAATCTGACACTAAACTTTACCATGACAGTCTCTGCGGTATGAAAATCTTGCAATCTTAATATTGACGTTTTGGCTCAGCTATAGCAAGTTGTTTATAGTTTGAACAAAATTGGGTGTAAAATGAACAAGGCTCGATAGAGAAGCCTGCTGAAACCGCTCTAGTGCATGACTGGACTCACATATAGTATTGAGTTTCTTGTGAGCGGGCAACTCAAATTTCCCGTAACCAATGTAATATAACGGCATAGCACAGGGGAGGCTCTAATGAGTTGTCTCTGTTCATGAGCCGCCCTGCGCCGTCCGCAGCGCGCATGGCACACGACCTGCCTTTCATTGTTACACTTCGTCTAGTGTTGATAGTGCAATCATTACTTCCCATCACACGACCGGTGTGTAATTTTCAAAGTCGAAAATTTAAAAAAAAAAATGTACACGATGTACGAGTTTCTCCGCCAGGGAGCTCTACCCGCAAGAAATCGTTCACCACCCGCCCGTCAGGGGCGCCGCGGCTTGCTAGCAGCGCAAAATGCGCACTGACGCCTACAAACCTAAAGGGCTACCTCACGCATTGCGCAATGCTTGAAGTATCCGTTTAGGTTTGTATGCGTCAGTGCGCCGTTCGAGCTGACAGCGGCAGCACGCCGCGCCGCGCCGTGTCATAAACTTGCCCTTAATTGATAGGTCAGGTTGTTAAAATGCAACCAATTTGACATCAAATTCGAAATTAGCGACTCAAAAAAACATCAGTTACAAAACTTTCGTGATCTTTCAGTCATTATTCAGCTTATTTCTTCCTATTCTTGAGTTCATAGTGCGCCACGGGCGACGGCGTTCATAAAATTCTCCCCAGTGCTCAATCGATAATATAATACCATTAATATCTTAGTTAGGAGTTGATTTCAGTAATTTTCGATGCAAGAATCTTGTTTTACGTGAAATTCTAGTTAACAAGCATGTATCAGAATGCCTAAGTTCGCGCCTTGTCTAGTAGCCCATTGTGATAAAAAAAGTAAAAAACATCTGCAACACCACCAATTTCTGATTATTTCACTGAAAGAGTTATTAATTGATATGCTTTGTTCCAATAGAGGATCACTCACCATGCAAAATTGGGTTGGTCTTCCTCTTTTTAACGGAATAATTTGAATCATATTTACAGGGCCCATACACATATGTATGTTATACGATACAATTATTCATTGCACATTTGAAAATAATTTTTTATTTTAAGGAGAAAAATTCTAAATCTTAAGACTGTCCTCTATACATCAAATCTCCATGACAAATTAAAACTTAATTCATGGGTGAGAGAGGGTTAACGTCTGTCCCTATGGTTTAAAGACAACCGACACTGACCGACCCCCCTCCCCAACTGAGTTTTCTATATCCATGAATTCTTTTATTGAATCTTGTTTACAAACAAATAATAACCCTACCCAACTCATAATTTTTAAACTCAGTTACCCTAAGAGGTTGGAAAACAGATCCTTTCTGGATTCCAGCAGCACCTAATTTTGATCCATCAAGGATAATGGTTAGACAACGAACACATACTATGCAAAACATACACAATATTTTACTCACATGTTGAAGAAAACCTGCAATATATGTTTCGTGTCGTCTTGTTTTATTTCCATTTCTGATGGCCGCTACACTGCATACATGGCTCCGGGGAGAGAAACTTCACTGGACACCAATAAGAAACCAAAAAAACTGCTTCGATTTTCTTTTAAAATACCTCAAATTCCAAAATAATTTCTGAATTCATTTCTTTTAATGAGAGTCAGATGCCGTTGATCGCCAAGAAACAATTAACAGTGACAACAATAGAAGTACTTGTTTGGTAGAAAAAATAGCCGATGGATGTTTCATGGAATAAGCCCCCCCCCCCCAAAAAAAAAAAAAAAAGAAAAACTTGTTCATTTCAGTTACCGGCATCTGATTATCCATCGGTGTTGTATATATTGTACCACGTTTCAATCTTTTGGTTTAAGAATAATGCAAGTTCATCGATCCATTTAGTCAGTATGTTCCTTATTTATGTGAGGAGACTCAGTGATGCCATGGAAATACATACACTGTGTATTTACAAAATGCTTAAGAATTTACCTAAATTTGGTAATCCTTAGCAATAAAAAAACATAATTATACCGGTAAAAATCTAAAGTTACTGAAGCAACTTCCTTGCGCAAAAAAGTCGACTCGGTGAAATTATCTTCAGAGCTATTGACACAGTGTAGCGAGTCCAGTGTTTATGCAAGGTTGTGCAAAAAACCATTTCTTCCTATGTCAATTCAGAACGGAAAAAAAAATTGATCGGTGATACGTGAGTGATGAAATGAAGTGATAATTGGCTATAACAAAAACTACTCATACCGAGAAGTCAAGTTGTAAGACAATTTATATTGAATTTTTGTGAAAAATTAGGGACCGTCCGAGATCAAAGGATGCTTGACATGTACATTGTACCTGGTGAAAAGTGTGGAGGGTAAAGTCAACCCTGATGTCAAGATGCCAGTAACGGTCGAAGCTGTCGAAAACCTGAACATTGAGACAATTTAAGAAGTTTAAAAAAGTGAAAAAAGGGAGATATCAATATATTTTGCCACCAAAATTATATGAAATCACACTTCTTAAAGTAGTTTATCATTTTACTATTCTAGAGAGAAAATGTCAACGCTTTAAGTACGGAGATTTATTCTACTGCTTTTTCGGAGTATCCTTCATTTTGGTTATGATTTGAGGGAATAGTCAACCTGATGTAAATTTTAGAACCGAGTAAATATAGGAACTGGGTCCAATCTTTTCAAAGCCTTAGAGTTCGTGGAAAATCGCAGTCAGACAGTTTAACTCGAATATGATAAAACAAAACCCAGAGCGGTGTTTTTTTAATCATCAATTTGTGTTTTGTTTTGTCATTTCCGAGTGATTTTTCATGAAAATGTGTAAAACTCAAATACATATCTGAATGTGATCGAATGTGGACTCCGATGTTCCCGAGGACCCAGTTCAAACATACCTAGTTTGGAGCGTTTTTCAACAGCGAAGGGCTCAAAACGTCCGACATTATACGTGACGTAGGTTACAGATGGCCTGCTAGTTCAAAATTACCTCACATTTTTGAGAGGTAACGTTCAAAACTATGAATCTTCAGTTTCACATTTATTTTTTCCTTGAAATTGATAACAAACAAAAAACGAAACAAAAACATTGTCTCGCGTACTGAAATGAACGTATCACAGGAGAAAAACACTGGATAAAAAACACATTGGATCTAGAGTCCAGACTCTTGAAAACATTGGCAAGAAAAAATACTCTTGATTCAATCGGATTTAAGCTTAAATCACAAGGAAATCCGCTCAAATTAAGAGGCTGGGTTCTTGATATAAGCTTAAATCTGATTGAATCAAGAGTTTTTTTTCTTGTCGATGTTTTAAAGAGTCTGGACTCTACATCCAATGTGTTTTTTATTCCAGTGAAAGGAAAGAATGTTTTTTTTGCTACAACCTAACCTATGCTTTTCCGTATTTGGCAGTATGACTAACCCGGGGTCTTTGTCTTGCCTTTCAGCCAGCGGATGACCGCGACGCAGGCGCTGCAGCACGCGTGGCTGCGTCGGCGCCCCCCGACCCTTACGGCGCCCACCCCCAAGCGCACCGTCGAGCGCCTCGACTCCACCAAGGACAACCTCCGCTCCTGCGTCGATCGCTGGGGCGACCAGACGCCTACCGCCTTCTTCATCCAGCCGCCGGCCATCAAGGAGCTCGAAACGGAAGAGCCCAAATTCCCAGAGGCCAAGCCCAGCGTCAGCATCCCCAACGACTTCCGCCCGGAGAGCCTCGTCAGCCCCACCTCGCCCCAGTCACCACTCCCCAAGAAGATCAAGCTCCAGGGAGACGAAGAAAAGGCCAAGCCCAAGAAAACACGCACCGGATCCAAGAAGAACAAATCTCCGCCTACCAGCCTCAAACTTGACGTCACCAAAGCACAGAACGCTCCACCGACCAGCACGAACCTGAAAACTAGTCCGGTGCAGAGCTCTGCACCTAGTAGCACGAATATGAAACCGGGCGAGGCTAGTCCGGTGCAAAACTCTTCTCCGACTAGCACGAGCCGGAAACTCAGTGACGTCAGCCCGGTACATAGCTCCGCACCTGGCAGTCCGAACCTGAAATCCGGTGGCGTTAGCCCGGTGCAAAACTCTCCCCCGATCAATACGAACCGGAGGATCAGTGATGCAAGCCCGGCTCAAAGCTCTCCTAAACCTGTGGTTACTAACACAGCACAAGTTAGTGAAAAACCAACCTCGAATACGTTAAACGGCCTTCCGAAGACACAACCACAAAGTCCGAAGAGCGAAAAACCAGAAAGCGCTGTAACTCCCGGCAGTAAGGTCATACCACCAGCTGAAGCTAAATCAACATCGTCGAATGAAAACAGTAAGGAGCAACAAAAAATTACAGCTCAAGCGACTGATCCAAAGGTTAATAAAGTAGAGACTGTACATGATTCTGCACAACCGGCTATTAGTGCGACTCAACTTTTAGATACAAAACCAGAGCCATCCGTAACCCAAGAACCAAAAACAGCGCCCAAGCCAGACCCGGCAAAAAGCCCGGACATAAACAGTAATTATATTGACGTGTCCCGAACCAGCACACCCATTCCAGTGCAAAAGCCCCCTCCAAGTTCACCCTCTCCCGTAGCTCTACCCACAACCAACAACACGGTTCCAAAGCAAGGAACACCGTCACCGAGTGTCTCAACGTCTGAAATTAAACCTAGTCCTAGTCCACCCTCTCCCCTTAACTCTAAAACCACCCCTCCAGTATTCCCGAGGGTAAATGTGATACCCATCACCGTGGAGGGCAAGCAAGAGACTAGTTCCAAGACTGAGGAAAAACCCAAACCGCCCAAGCCACTAGGCAACAGTAATATCTCAGGACTGAAATCCATCTGGGGCTCAAAAATCTTAGCAAACGAGACCAAACACCACCCGATCGTCAAGTACAACCGAACCATGTCTAGCCCTACACCGAACACGGCCAAAAGTCGAACGGTAGGACCCAAGCCTCAGAAGGTCCCCGAAAGTGAAGAATCTCAACCTAAGGTTATTTTACACAGGATAGAAGTAGAGGACGCGACCCCGAGTAAAAAACCTCAGGACAGAGTCGGCGTTACCGTATCGGCTAGTGAAAAACCCAAAGACAGAGTCAGCGTGAGCGTCACGGACACTAGTACGAATAGGAAGCCGATCAACGAATGGGTGAACGATCGGCTCCTCAACGACCGGTTCAACATCGACCGACGAGCCTCGGACATCTCCAGCCTGGTCAACAGCGACACGTTCTTCGACGACCGTGCGGACTGCGTCGGGAGCCGCCTCGCCGAGGAGATCTCGCGGATCACGGACAAGTTCTGCCGCCTCAACGACGACGACAAGCGGTCGAGCGACAAGGCGGCCATCATGGCCCAGGAGCGCCACGACAAGATCACGGACCTCCTCAACGGGAAGCGGCGACCCAAGTACCGCCGGATCACCTACCTGAACCGCGACGTCCCCGTGGGAAGCGCCCCGCCGCCCACCAACATGACGTACTACCTGACCAACTGCTTGACGTCCAACCCGGTGGGGCCGCTCTGGGCGGGGACCGATTTCCTCTCGGCGCCGGGGACGCCACTGGGGTCGCCGCGGTCGCCCTCGGAGGGTTCGCTGGACGCCGACATGATCTTCCAGATGCTCAGCGAGAAGCTCAAGGCGGACGCGTCGATACAGAACGTGGCGCCGCCCAAGAAGACCGGGCTCATCAACTCCTAGGGCACTCTGCCGAGAGATGCATCTGGTTTCCGCGTTACGTGTTCTACGTGCGCCTGCTCCAGGGTGGCATGAAACGTAAGAGAGAAATGAAAGATTGGAGATTTCGGTGAAATATTTCATGAAATTTCACGAGGCTGGGAAATATTCAATATTTTTTAGGGGCTAGAGTATGCAACCCGCACTCAAGCACACAAAGATAGAAGAACGTCACAATTTTTTCATTTTGCGAAACATAAAAGGAACCGGTATTTTTAATATCTTTCATGAAGTTCTGAAGTTTCATGGAATATTTCGCGTGAAATTTCAAGACATTATTTTTTATGAAATTTTGCCACCCTGGCCTGCTCACATCGAGGTGTTCCTGTTTTCCGACTGACTCTACTTAAAGCTCACTTGTTTTGCCTTCTACTTGACCTGTGATGGATTAGAGAATAAGGGGGCTGTTTGTTCGTCACGTCATTTATTGTGAAAAGAGAGTGGGTTCCGCTCTAAGTGAACAATTATTGAGGAGGAAATTCGGTACTGCATGACGTCATGTCAAGATCGGTGCGAACTGCTAATTTTTTAAAAATCACAAGTCTCATTACCGAGAAAATGGTGCTACATCATTTTGTAAGTCGAAATTGGGTGTGGTGAAATTCACCTGCTGTTTCAGCGGGGCGGATGAACAGGATTCAAGATTACAAATGTCATCTTGACATAATTTATGAACGGTATTTTTAATACGCAGAGATCTGTAAGTTGCTAATCAGCTGAGTTTTCAATGGTCTTAAACAATTATTTTAGGATGAAGACTGGAGAAAAGTTACTTTCCCCCAGAAGGTCGTAAATGAAATTAGTATCCTTGGTTTTCTGAGTTCAGGTTAAGGCTCACATGTCTAATTTTTGAAGCCCAGTATCTTGTTAAATATTTTGACATCAAACTTGGCATTCCTGTTAAAAAGATAATAATTAGTTTATTACTGATTGTATATTTTATAAACCGTGTAAAATGCAGAACTTCGGGCAAAAAACGTTGGCCCTTTTTCTTTATTGGAAAATAAAGTCATCTGAATTGTCACAGCTGAGGGACAATTGTGGCTTATTGATGTTGCTTTTAGTGACATGATCGGACTCAAAAGAAAATATTATCAAAGTTTAGAAGAAAAAAATATGAGTAAAAATTCTGATATCATCAGTGTGTAATATGGAGTGAGGGAAACTGAAGTAAACTTTAAATTAGTTACGAACTCGGTAAAGAGAGGCATTTGGACTATTTGCGAAAAGGAATCACTTTTCAAGCTCATTATGGAAACAACGTATGTGCTGATAGTTTTCTATGCAGGTACGCGACGTTATGGATGAATGGTTTTTGGTTGCAAAATGTGGCTCTTTTGGCGATCAAGTTATTTAGTACTTAGATCATGTAATTCTAGTGTGAAATTTTCAATCGTTTGAAAGCGTATACCTAGTCACAGTCAGCAACCATTTTGTGAGACAGAGATTTCTGGAGGAAATTTTTAGAGTCTAAGTGGACGCAACAAAAATTCAGATAGAAAACCGAGGGAATCCAAGCAAAAATGTATAAAAAGCTAGAAAATGGAAAAGTTGATTTGAACTACTTGTTAATTTTAAGTGATGGATGGAAATTAAGCATAAGTCCCCCTGATTGTTCCAAGTAAGTAGAAATCCTTGAATGTTCTTAGAAGAGATCCTACTTTGTTTTTTTTTATTTGTTGAATTGATTTTAAATGTTAATAAATTTTGTAAAAAAAACGCAATGTTTTTGTTCAATATCACACAAGCACATCATAAGTGATTGATGAATGGCATGGTCCCCAGCAAAAATAAAATTAGTAAATACTTCGAAGAAAAAACAATATTTAGGCTGCGCGCTAACACCGTAGCTAACTATTCAAGCCTCTCGCACGTAAGATAATCAAAATTTATATAAAGCTATGAGACCCCAGAGCTTATTCTTACAATAAGCGTCCTAGTTACAAAACGTTCCTGAAATATGGTTAGAGTCCTTCTTGTTCACCGTCTAAGTTCTGTGGTCTCGACAGAAATATCCTGTGACTGATAACGATCGAGAGCCCTGTGGTAGACAAGGTGTCCCGTTATCATCACCAATTATTTTATTGTAAGAACAAAATATTGATGGTCAAAAGTGATGAGATAGAAATTCTCTGTGTTTTCTGATGATGATATTGTTAGGCAACGTAAGCTTGCCAACAGCAACAATGCAACAATTGCAAGGCAATAATGACAACGCATAGACTCCTTGTCAAAAATATACGTTGACACACAAATATGGACCAAAATTAAATATTTCCAAGATTGCAATTGTGAATTGTAGACTTTTTAGGGGACATGAAAACCAATGGCTGGTTAGAAAAATACGAATCTCTACTGCAAGGTTAAACATTTTGATCCTGCATTTATTATTTAAAGCCCAATTCACACTACAAACTTTTCGTCCGACATGATTGAACAAAAGGTTGGATGGAAAGTTAGACGCAAAAAAATTAGATTCAATTACCGTTGCAGTGTGATATCGTCATCAGCCTGCGGTTTGCGAAGATACAGCTTCGGCTCAAGTCGATCGCAAATTTTCGTTGCAACTTTTCATTCAACTTTTCATCCAATCAGCGCCGTCAATTGGATGAAAAGTGGAACGAAAAGTTGAATGTGACATCACATTCAAGTTTCCGTTCAACTTTTCATCGAATTTTCGTTTTCTCCCGTCGGTATCACACTATCCAACTTTCCATTCGACAAGTTGCATCCAAAAGTTGGATGAAAAGTTTGATAGGGTGAATTGGGAATAAAAAGGAAATGAGCCAAAATATTCCCTTCAAATCATCCGTGAATATTTTTTATGATGTGAAGATAATTCATTGTAAATTTCAAGGCAAACTGTTCGTTAGTTTTCTTCGGAAGAGTAAAACAAGACTTTATACTTTGCAACGTCCCAAACTGAGGTACGCAGTTTTCGACTTAAGCTGTTGCAGAGCAATATACGCTATAATGTAGTTCTTGTCCGATGAGACGTTTGCACACACTGGAAAAAAAGTCTCTTGGGTGTAGAGTCCAGACTCTTAAAAAATTTGACAAAAAAATGATCCTAATTCAATCTGATTTTTGCTGGGGCCTTGTTCCTGATTCAATCGGATTTTTGCTGGAACCCAAGGGAAATCCGATTGAATCGAGAGTATTTTCATTTTGTCTAATATTTTAAGAGTCTAGACTCTGGATCCAGGGGACTTATTTTCCCAGTGCATTTTGTTTTAAGCCGAAAATGAGGGAACTTCGTTAATTTTTCTTTTATAGCAAAAGGATGACCGCGTTGGAGGCATTGAACCACACGTGGCTCCACGACGCGGGCGAGGTTACTTTGGACAAGACGAAACTCAAACGCTACGTCATCAAGAAGCGCTGGATCAAGGCTGTCAACACTATCATCGCCCTGAAGAGGATGGGCGCCAGAATTGAGAACGAGGACGAAAGCTGAGGAGCAACGAGTCGCATAACGTTTTTAGATGCTTCTTCCCTCTACCCTTATTCCATTTTCAATAATCTTATCTGAGTGACTACGTGAAGAAGATTTTCGAGTTTCTCACTCAACTGAACGTACATTTTTTAAAACGTTCACCGAAAAAAAAGTGAAGTTGATTTAACATTTTGGATGTAAAAAACGTGCGCGAAAACTTATAAAATGCTAAATTACCCACCACAGCAGTTAGTTTTACATCTTGGAGTTGCTAAAGTAACTGATGCAGCGGGTAGTTCAGCATTTTATAAGTTCTCGTACTCATTTTTTTACATCCAGATTGTTGAATCAACTTCACTTTTTTTTCGGTGTAATCGTCACGTTGGTCAAATGTAAATGTCGGCGCCCGTCCGCGGGGAAAAGGAACGTAGTTCACAAAGACGAAGTTCTAATGGGGTAATTTTTTTAATACCATTCGGTGCAGATATCAGCTATTGGCACCTAAAAGTAGTAAAAGCATTGAACAACAAGTTACGGGCTGTACAATACGGGCATACCGTTCGTTCCGGGCTCAGGGGCCGAAAGTTCCGGGTGCTGGAGCCGTAGCTTCGATTGCTCCGGGTGTTAAGCCCGGAACTTCCAGCCTATGAGCCCGGAACGCGGACGGTAGGTCTATACAGCCCGTAAGTACGGCTCCCACGACCGAGGTTTTTTTTTTTTTCAGTGATGAGTTAATCAAACTCTGAACCAGCGGGCCTCTGCCTCAAAGAGGACCGTACGCTTTGAATCTGTGTTCTCCTGATTTCGCGTGAGATTCCTTTGTGGTTGTCTGGATAGTGTAAAAAATATAATTATCCATGCTACTGTGCTGAAGAAATTGTAAAATTTGTTAAAGCCCCTCCGAAGTCAACGCATTAACACCAGGAAATTTTGTTCCTTATAATTCTAACAGAATTTTATTCACGCTTTGTATTAGAGTAAAATTTGAAGGAAAAATATTCTCAAAGTTACTGGGAAGAGAAAGGATACTTTATTGGGAAAGCTCAAGCAATAGTTAACTGCTTGTTCAGCGATTTCCGCAATTGAGGAACATCGTTTGTCTCCCATTTAAAGTCATTACAAACAGTCGGTTCTTCATTAAGAAGCCGGTCTCTATACATGTGGATAGTATCCTATATCCATTTGAAGGACGAAAAACAGTATTGCGATTATTTGCAAGAACTGCTTCTGCAGGTTAGCTCAGTTCAAGATCTAGATCGTGTCGCCAGGTCTACTCGGGATTGGCCATTAGTAATTTCCGATAGTCATTTCTCAAGAGACTTTAAGATATGTTTAGTTTAAGCAATTCAACTGCCTTTTAACATCCTGAATTCCTGAGTTTACTTTTGTCACCCGAGTTTTTTTTTCATTTTTCTAAATAAAATATATAAAACATTGTGCGTTAGAAATTTACATGCATTTTCTTAAGCTGCTTGACAGTCGTTTTTGTTTTTTGTTCTTTCCCCCTGTCATTCGGAAGAAATAAACACATGGGATGTCTGTCGAAATATCACACACGTTTCATAATTCTGGAAGGTTGTACTGTGGCTGAGGTCCATAAACGAATTATTTCGACCACTGAAATAATTTTGATTCAATGAATGGCCAAAACTATTTCTAATAAAGCATACATGTCTCTACATTATGCTTTTGTATGTTTAGATAAAAAAGATACTCAGAGCTTTAATACAATGAAATTTTTGATACGGGTAGAAATTTGACTGCGTTCGGAAACATCAATAACTTACACAGAGAAAAAATTATCACAGAAGTTTATTAGATTACAAAGAGTTTTGTATACTTAAAATTTAAGAAACAGACTGTTTTAAAACTGACCCAATTTAAAAGAACTAACTATACATTATTTTGATTATGATTTTTCCACTGCATATTACTCCGGAATCATATATACTTGCGTTTGAAAGTTTTTGGATCAAGCGTTGAATGAAGTTTGACTCACACTAATATGTGGGAAAAATCTTGAGGAATACCGTTGACGAATTAAAGTAAAAAATGACAAACTGAGAAAAAATGTCATAAGTGCGTTAGGGGTAAATTCTAAAGATAGTCTGAAATACCTTTCCACAAAAATTTGGTTACCTGTTTCAAAAAGAGTCTGAAATACCTCCTACTTTTGACGATTATATACTGGCAGAGATTGATATAACTGTTCAATGGTCGACATTGAAATAAAAACGGCGAGGTTTCATCTTATAGTCCATTCTAACTTAAATGACGGGAGCTCTTCAACGTGCTCATAATAATGACATTTATGCGACAGTACGCAGAAATTACGTAACTTACATTTTAAATGCAAACAGGCCGGGTGTAAATACGAACGCCGAATAAAATACAGCTTAAAAAACCAAAAGACGAGAATTTCACATTGGTGCGGAGTTGAAAAATACTGATTTTGTGTTCATTCTAACAGGCATGTGTTAAAACCTGCCATTGGTTTGAGACAGAGCCATAGAATATACCCATATAGCCATAGAAAATGGTTTTTTCTTAACTTGGACACCTGATGTGACTTCAAGTATTTTTGAAATCAAGATTTCGTCCTAAGCGAAACCGCGAACGGAAATGAATCAGTGTGAAAATTGCAGGGTAAAATATACGAATCCGGCTCGTTTTGGGACATGTTTAAGGGAGGCATTTTCACTGCAGCTTAGCTGATCTTCGATGAGAGAAACAGGCACTGAAAAGATCTCTGCAAGATTAGCTAATTCTGCTTGAAAGTTCCAGGTTTCAATTCAGTTGAATATCATATTATCTATTGTCGTAGGTTTTCTATAGATTCAGCATCAAGGAACTTTCTCAAGTATGGTTGGCGAGACGTTGCTAACTTAAAAATTACTTACAGTCATAACAAAGTGGCAAAAAAAAATTTGAGGTGCGATATGGCCTGCATTTACTTTAGATTCATCAGGTTCAGTCATGATATGGATTATAGCATTTCCACTTACAACGTAGTGATGAATCTGTGATCATGTCCAAGTTTGGAAGACGATGATAGAGAATTTAAATCCGTCTTCATCAGAACACGATCCTTGAAAGGAAGCCCTTTCTTTTAAAATATCTTAGACTGTTTACAATCTGAGTGCAATTAATCTGTGTTAACATTTCAAAGGTCGAAACGAAAATGAAGTTCATACTTTGATAAAATTCGCATAATGAATAAACACAGCATTTAGATATACATAAATAAATGCCGGAAAGATTGTACACTTTTCAAAATTAAATTACCAAGAGTTTTCTTTTTTTACGTTAGCTATACTTCTTTTGGGAAAATAGTTCAATGTTCATTTAATGATGCTCTCAATCTATTGTAAATCATTAAAGTAAAAATTACAAAGCAAGTTTTCAAAACCTGAATTTATACACGCAGCAGCAATATCGCACCTCTGTTGACCTCTGAAAATTCAGAATAAAATAAAAAGAAAAAAACGGGAATTAAGTATGTGAACATATTTTTACAAGAGAAGGGCTTTATGCAAGCGTAACTAATACGAATAGTATTACTGTTACGTGAGCTCAATCATGTAGGGCACAATAACCGGGAGTAACTTAACCCTTAACACTTAAAAGATGATTTCCAAATGACTAAAATGCTACGAACATAACAAATCTCACACGCCGCATAGAAAAGGCTCCGTGGTCATTTCGGAGGGGAAAAAATTACCTCAGAATTAAATATCCTCTAATTTTGAAAAACGGCATTTTTGCTCTTTTTCAAAGCTACAGTTTTTAGGGGGTAGTTCTGCATTGTTCAACAGCTTTAGATTTTCCTTTTAAATCAATATACACGGAGAAGAAAACCTCGTGCGTGGAACCCAAAGTTTAGGTCATTTGGATCTCTGAAGTTTTCAGATTGAGCATCTAAACACTTTAGGTCTAGCTGTCGAGGTTCGGATCACACATCTGAAACTTCAGTTCTTACATCCGAAGTACCTCAGATGTGAGAACCGCAGTTTTTCGAATGTGAGAACCGCGGTTTTTCGGTTGTGAAAACCGAAGTACTTGAGATGTAAGAACTGCAGTTTCAGATGTGTGATCAAAACCTCAGCAGCTGGACCTCAAGAGTTCGGATGCTCAATTCGAAAACTTCAGAGATCCATATGACCTAAACTTCGGGTCCCACGCCCGAAGTTTTTTTCTCCGTGTAGATGTAAACAAATGTATGGGTCTCCTGGATCACCCTCTAAAATTGACGTGTTACTAAATTCAAGCTGTGAGTATTGAAAAATCACGTCGGAGTTGATGGTTGGCTCTCAAAATCGCCATCTTTGCATTACTGGGAAGAATTTTCCAGTCAATAATTTCGGAACAAGTATTTTCAGTGAGTCGGCCGGATATCTCCTTTAAGCGCTAGCGCGACTCATCGACATAACGGACATACCGTTCAAGACAAGGATCTTTCCTGTTGGCTAAACGAAAATTCTTCTCCAGGCTAGTATTAATTTGAATTTCTATTGCTCCAATAGAAAATGTTTACCGTGCCGAACCTATGAGACATTTACTTTTGTTCTGAAGCATTTTGTCGCCTTGTTTGGGATGAGTCAGGGCCGTATTGTCTATACAGCTCCTAGTTTTGCACGGCTTGTGTGGAAATGGAAACACGCCTTTATGTCAAAGGAGCGACGATATCTTGGGCAAGTGCGCTAGAAATACCTTCAAAATAATGTACATACTACTCCACTACGGAAATATTAAACGTGATCAAACAGATCCGAGAACTGCTTAAAAAAGTAATTCTCGATGAGGATTCCTACTTGGCTACTGCTGTCGCGGGTGTAGTGTGTTCATACTTCGAAGGGAAAATTTCGCTCACTCGTCGGAAATATCCTTATCTGGGGCGACACGCTAGGATCATTTGGACTGCATTTTGCAATTTGGAGCTATAAATTCCGGCCCGGTTTAAAAACAACGTATGTGCCATTAGTTTCCTTATGCACATAAGTGTTTTTTCAGATGAGCTAGAATTTATGGCTCCGAATCGCAAAATGCAGTTTATTTGGTTCTCGGAGCGCTTTTCTATGCAGCGCGTGGCCTTTTCTCAACGTGGAACTACCCATTCATTGGCTATCGATTTATGTTTTTGATCGATACATGGTAAAAATCGAGAGTATTTTTGGATAATTTCCCAGATATGAGAGCGTTATTTTTTATTGAACTCTGACATTCAACTTTACATGATGTCAGATGAAAAGTATCTTATAATAAAAATGAAGTCATTGAACCTAAAAATGTCAGTCAAATGTGCAAGACAGACCTCCTAATTTCTCGTAAATCCTACCACGCATCAATTTTTGTCCTTGGTACCTTTTTTCTATCATTTTAGAGCTCAATGATATCATACGGCAGAATGGTAGAAAGGCAAATGCTGCCTCTTGGTTTGTCATTCTGGTTCATTTTGACGTTAGATTCTCCAGAAAATAAACCAAGAGCATCCCGAGTTCAGCCATGTTCCGATCATAGCTAAGGAAAGGGTAGTTTCACTTAAATCAAACCTTGAGTATTGGCAGCGAAATTCCTCGACGAGCAGCAGGATTATGGCTCAGCGTAATCGCGTAAATTAATCGAGATCATTTATCCAGACTCCAACCATTCTTGATAAAGACAAGCAACAGTATCGCCAACTGCAGTCAGGAAACTCTTTCATGTGGATAGGTCTCGGGCGGTTTTATGGATAACCGGTAGGTTCTGAAAGAACAAGCGGGAAATTTGAGGTAGAAAATTTTTTCGCCGTCATCTTTCGTGTACGATTGAGACGACAGAGCAAGATATAAATTGTATAGGATGATAAAACGTCGGGTTATGATGGATTGATTATCCTTCACATATTGGAGCCTAAGGCACTCATTTAAAAAATTGTTGTTGCATACAAGTCTGAAGACTAGGAATTCCAAATTTTATAAAACAAAAACGGACTTAATGTTTTTAAAACAAATCACCGAGAAAAATCTGCTTAGCTCTGATTAAAAGAGGCATTCGCTAAAAATCCATTAAGTACACTTGTACAATAAGCTTGGGTGTATTTTAGATTTTAATATGTGAAAAAACTACATTTATAATTACAAACAACTGAACCTGTTCAAAAGAGCCAAAATGGGGTCACGATTCAGCTGTCTCAAATGATTATCAATCTCTGTAATGTATTTGCACTTTCCGCTGACTGTTCTAAATGGTCTTACAAAGCGAAAAACTCAAAGAAACAGTGGGAAAAAAACAACCGGGAAATAGATTATTTTCACTCGAGTTTCGTTTTCCCCTGCACTAAAAAAAATTGAATTTCACTTTGAGTCCCATTTTCTCTAGATTCATTGCGTTGATGGATGCGGAAAACCTTGCATTAATTTAGAGTAACTAATAACGTGTTATTCGTTTAAGCATAAGGGCCATGAATTGTTTCCTGAAAGATCTGAAAATTTAATGAATTATTCTTACAAGTTTCTCGTGAGCCCAGCGTTATTTTTTCTTGAAATCATTAAGTGTCCGCAGTGAAAAGGCTTGTCTGAAAGGGTCGTATGGCGTGATTTGCCTGTAGACTGGCTGGACATCGGCTCGGAGCATGACAACTCCTGCAATCGGAAAAATATTAGCACATATTGAACTTGTTCATCTTTAATTTCACACACGTCAGTTCATAAAATTATACCCATTGCGGAATTTTTTGAAGTAAAACTTTGCCTCTCACCTCGCGTCACACTAGTTTATACAAATAATACGCAGATTAGATATTACCGTCACGGAACTTTTTCCATGCAGAAAATTTCGTCAACTCTGTATTGATCAAAGTAAAGTAGGTTGCGAACCGCCGCATTTTCGATCATTTTAGATTTTAAAAATGCGACTTTAAAAAAGATTGATATGTGGCGAGTTGAGAAAATATATAAGACTATCACCAATTTTGTGTCCGCTAATTTTTGACCATACTGAAAAAATAATCTGTGTTCTTAAGTTACATTCGATTAGTATAGGAAATGAGATACAAAGCAGTCCGTATTTTATGTTGAGTTTGATGCTTCCTGTGGTGAATTTATATCAGAAAACAATGACAAAATCGGTAACCTTGGAATCAACGGAAGGCTCGTGATACTATTCGAGTTTCACTTCAGATATAAAACAAACTTTGATTTTACTTTTTCTCTCTATGTGAGAATAGCAAATCACTGCCATTTTGAGTTTTTCAGTGTGATCGTAGAGATAGGATGCGAGTTGTGTATAAAAAACTTGGTTCACCAATATGTTTTTGAAATTGTACATTTACGGAAACAATTGTACATTTACATATGAAACTCAAGCTTTCACGCACAATCAGTCAAAAGTCTTCATATCATTTTACAGACGCATTCTGCCTGACTCAGATTTTATTCAAATATTTTTTACGTACCTGAAGGATTTACTTTCACCTTGATTTTTGTTTGTGGTGTTAAAACACCATAGTCTACATCCTCGTATAAGTCCTGCAAAAGTCCAATATTTTTTCTTAGTTTAAAATTTTAAAAATGACCAAACTTCAAAATAATTTTGATACGTTTTGTCGTACTTTGTATAGTAAATATTTCGAAAAGGAAAATTGCATAGGGGTCTGACGTCTGAGACATAGAGAAGACTCATCATATTTATTTGCCGCATAGAGCGGAGCAATGCGAATTCACGCCTCGCGCCTTCGCGCCTTCAATTCCGCAGAATACAACACGGACATCCATCAAGTACGAATAGTTGTATCTCTGCGCCGTCAGCAAGACGCGTCCTCGTTCCCCTTGCTCTATTCTCTAGTATCCGTTTGTATTATTCGCTCCGTGTGCAACCGAGCCGTAAATAGGACGAACAAAATCGGGATTCATTTTTTAACTTTTCTCCCGAATCTCAATTTCACTAACAGCATAGAACAGAGAATTTCGATTTCACGTCTTGCCCCATTGCGTCTTCAATTTGGAGATGAAAGGACATTCGTCAAGAACGAATAGGTGTATTTCATGCGCTGTTATCAATGCGTGTCAAGGTCTCTTTTATTTTTGAATTTTGAGAAACTTGAGGTTGAATTTGCTCAGAATATGATGTGTCCAAATCCATAATCATTTTAATAAAAAGAAAGAAAAAGCAAAACCTTGTTTAAAAGTCTTTTAAGTGCCGTAAAGGGCTTGCACACGCATAAAACTTGGTATTTTTGCGAGAGTTGTGTTGTTTTCCTGATTTTTTTAAGACTACCCTTAGAAATATTAAGCTGTGTCCAATTGACTCGACGATCTCTTTAGGGGGAGTCAAGTATGTCGGATGAACGGGAGGGGGGGGGAGGTTAAGAGCACCAGTATATTACTAAAAAAAAAGGCGACCATTTAAAAAGAAGTACTTTTTACAAAAACATAGAAATCACGGAGTCCACAAAAAACTTACTTCCACATCTGTCAAAATCCATGTATTTAATCACGGTTCAATTCAACTTGACTTGAGACTGCGTACAAAAAAATCCTTGAGCATCCAAGGGTTAAATTTGAACTGAACCCCGGAAAAATTAACCAATTCATAAAATCACATTATCTGGATTTTTCCGTTATTACACCTGATTTTCTAAAACTTGGTGCAATCGTCAAAATTTGCCAGTTTTTTAGCTTTTTCACGAAACATCGATGAACTTAAACAAGTCTTAGGACAAGACTTGAAATTTGATCAAAATTTTAAAGAAGAATAGTTTTCATGAACTGTAATTAAATCTTTCTGATAGTTTGAGCTGACGAGGTATGATGAGACTGATCGTGCAAACGTACTACTACAAATGATCATTGTAAAATAGAAGCGGAGTACACACCTCTATCCTATATCCACTGGTAGATGTGAGACCCATTTCGCTCAGGGTGACGGCGACGTCTGATGGCGTACCATCTGTCCTCCTGTTGAGGAATAGGATGGCGTAGGAGAAGAAATGCTGCGATATCGGCGTTATCGGCCTTGCCCAGATTTCGATTCCTTTGTGCTATCCTCGCGGAAAAGAACAATAGAAACCGGGGGAAAACGAGATAATTAGTTTTTCAAAAATATATTAAAATCAAATTTATATGGAGCGAGGTATTTTCTTCATCAGATATATCTAATTGAAGATTTGGGGGTGGCTTGGTGATAACCGAGTGAATATTGAAATATTTAACAAGTGCTTAACAACTTGAATTGTTGAACTGAATAAAAAATGTATAGAAAAACACAAGCCCAGAGAAAAGATATTATTTTCAGGGAACAAACGGGAAGTAGGAGGTAAAAAATTTAGCAGTATAATTACTGCGCGATTATGCAAGCTCATGCTTTTTATTCCCGCCATTGTTACTTCACTTATTGGTGGAAGATGGAGTCCAGAATATTAATGGAAAATTAATTCAAAACAATTCATAAAAAAATAGACTTCCGCCACTCTCAAAAATAGTTCCCATATTTGCGAAAATTGATGAAATCGACAGTCTTCGATGTTTTCTTTACAAACAATATGCACACAGCTTTTGCGGAAAAGATTACTCAGTTTGAAGTTTACTGGGTGGTGGTTTCTTTTTGGCAAGAAGACCTATTATCACGGAGAGGTTCCACGCTGCAAATCGAAAGTGAAATGTCCTAGAAGGAAATGTGAATTCAAGGAAAGAAAATAATGAACACGGAAAAAAATTATTAAAGGTTACTGATTCCCACTTATATATGATACATAGGAAATCTAATAAGTATTATTAAATTTTCGACCGTGTTACTCATGTTCTAAAAAATCTAATAGCCACTGACATCTTTATCCTTGAATATAAATAAGTAGTTATAATTTTGAGCATGAATAATTTCTACCTAACTAATTTTCAATCATCGAATGGCCACCTCATTTATCTGTCTCTTCTGCCCAACTGTAAAGAAATGGCTACTTTCATTCAGAAGCAGTGCGGTTAATACCATTATCTCCTCCAACAATACTGTGATAAAATCTGCAAAGGGTGTAAACGCTTTTTACCTTGTATATTCTTCTCCCCTGTATCCCAAGAGGGTCCTGATCTACGGCTATGATCTTTCGATTCTGGAGAATGGCCTTGTATTCCGGTCTGATTGTCCTCAAATCCACCGACATCAGCAGGGGTGCCGCCAAAATTGCCCACATTGCCATCTGCACTTTGCTTTGCTCGTAACTCAAACCGAAATTACCGATAATCAACTGTAAGAATTTTCAAAAATTGAAGGAAACAGGAAATTATTTGCCACATTCAAAGACACAAAATTTTACGCAGTCAAATTGCATTTCGTATTTTGCGTCGTTAGTGTAATACGGGGCAAAATTTTCGAAACAATAAGCTTGTGATCAAGTAAAATCAGTTAAACTGGTGGGAATAAAGTTCACACTCAAAATTTCCTGCACACCTTTCAATTGGACACTCTTTACTCGTTTAGGGGAGTCTCATATTAGGCTTAGTGCCTATTATCTACTTTCTGTCGTATTTTTCAAAATCTTAAAGTTTCGAATTTGGCTGCACACTTTATTTCAAAGATTGACGCGTATTATGAAAAAGCACACAGACAGATATCATAAAAAGAGCATGGGTCAAACGCACGAATGATAAGTGTTTTAATGTGACTAACTCTGAAAACAAACACTTGCACTAGCATGTGAATAATCTATATTTTAAAAAAAATGATGCATCTTTTTAGAGAATTGTCCAATTCAGGGCTGGAGATCATTACAGCAATCAAAGAAAAATGTATTGATCGGTCACATCTCGAACGCGGACTAGAAAAGCGAACAGTAGCTACTTGCGATCGCGAAAGCGTTTACAATTATTATTTTTTTTAAATTTTTGAGGACTTGACGATGAGCGGTTGCTCGAAACGGCCATCGTGGAAGAGTAAAAGAATCAAAATTTGGAAAAATCAGTAAGAAAAAGGTTTCATAACATCTTAAAGAATGATGTATTAAAAAATAATTTCTATCCATAAGGATAAATTATTATTTTGGCAAAAATTGGTAGAGGTTTCACGAATTTCAACGTGAGGTAGAATATTTGACTATTTGCCTGTAGGCATTACACAAAATGTATGTTTTCAAAAATTGCCTGCGATGTACGCAAACCTCTTTTCTGCGCAGTAAGGGCAGTTTACGGTTAATACGAGTCTATGATTCAAGCAGTAAATACAAGTAGAAAGTGATGGCGTTGATAGACGAGTACCGACCATATCGGGATCATTCCAGTGGCCCGGTCCTGCGTTAGGCACGATGACGTCTTGATTGTTGCCATAATAGTCGATTATGCTCTCCAGACTGGCCCAGGAGTCTTGAATGTCATCGAAATTCCTCCACAGATTGCAGTGCTCGATGATGGCCGTGAAGTTGGGCTGAAATCAGAGCCGAGACGTAGAAGACAAAACTTAACACCGGTTCACCATTTAAATTTTGAATATGACGTATAAGGGGCTTCGAGGACAAGGCGCATACGTGCAGTTTTTACCATTTCGAGAAATACGTGTTTAAAGTTTTGAGATTACACGGATCCTAATGGCGGAAAGAGAGTTCAAACTGACTTTTTGATCCTTAAAAGAATTTGAGAACGAATTTTTCACAAAATATGCATTAAGACTAGTTTTACTGGAAATCATTACTATCTCATTTTTTTTTCAAAAACTGCACGTATGCGCCTTGTCCTCCAAGCCCCTCAATTCTTCTAAATGTGTGCTTAAGTTTCCTCCATCATCAGTGGAATTACCTTTTTTGGACTCGTAAACATTCATGAATTCTACGTAGTGTTGATGGATCCGAAAAAGTTCATGCTAATGATAATAGAGAAAACTTTTGGATACTAAAGTCTTCTGACTTTTGAAGATTTTTTGACGACTAATTTCACAGCTTTACCGAATCTTTCCAAAGGCTTAGAGCACGGAATCGTAATGAGTGAGGATTGTTCTTACATAAAAGCTCCTGATTTTAAGAAAGTCAGAGTTCAACTACTTTGAGGCAGAGATGGATTTTCATGACCACATGCTTGATTTTAAGCTTAATGAGACAACCGCAAAGGAAGAGTCGTCTGGGTTTTTTCTTATTTTGAATTAAAATTAGCATTTTAATGAGTAGTCGATAATTTATTGATCCCAAAATTGTGGGAAAATAATAAAAAAAGCAATTTTTAAGTTTACGTCGAAATTTCCTGCCTTTTTACGAGCGAGTGAAATGTGACTTTGATAAATTTGTTCTGTCTTTCCAAGATTTTAGTGTCCTGTCAATGTACATAAAAAGGCATACGATTTAAACCCTTGAAATTGCAGGAATTGAACATTTTATAACAGAAACGCAAGTATTTAGATGGCTAAACTAAACCTAATAGTACAGCCCTGCTTCATTCGATCAATTGAAACAAAACTTGATGACGAGAGAGCGATAGAGCTGGCCAAACCTGGCCATTTAAGAAACTACTCAAATCAATGCACTTCAATGGATACAAAATCTAAGAAAATTACCTGCATTCCATTGTAAATTTGGTAAACCGGCCAGCTGCAGGAGTACACCATTTTTCTTCCTGTCCGATTCAGATGAAAACCAAATTCAGAATAACCTGTGAATGAAAATTATGTTTATTACTTTTTTCTTTTCAAACTCTTTCAGTAATAATGATTTGGAATTATTAAATTTTTTATGGCAGGGTGCGAGGAGAGCGTGTATCTATATGTATTAAAATTCTGCAGCTCTCGTTTTTACTACTGTATGTACCTGATTAAATCCGTTTTTCCTCGCTTTCTTAATTATCCGTATTGAAATGCTGATTTATTTGTATGGCAGGTAGATATTAATGAATCAATTTCATTTATCTCTAAAATTACTCTTGCAACGGAAAGGGTCCGTTGATTTTTTAGGCAGGTCGTAGGTTTCTTACTTTTAAGGATTAATTTTTAAAGTTATATTCTTAAATTTTTCTCAATATTCGTTAAAATTGTCCAGTATAGGATGCCATGTAGAAGATCTGCTTAAATTCTCATAGTCTTAGTGTAAACTATATGGGGTTGCCTACGAGGGAAGCTGCTTGAAGAGTGACTATGAGCACGGTCTTAAAAGCACGGTTGTTTTTTGAGCTTTACCATGGACCTACCTTTGTCCATGTCCCTAGGGAGGGAGTAGCAGCCGTCCAGCTTGACGTAGTCGACCTCCCAGTCAGCGAAAGTGAAAGCGTCCAGCTCGAGGTTGCCCAGGACTCCTGGATAACCTGCACAGGTGTAATTCCCATAGTCCTCGTAAATCCCAAATTTCAGCCCTTTCGAATGAATCTGCACACATCAGTTGGATTCAGTTGGTTAAAAACACACACAAACCTCAAGCCTCCGCCGCTGAGCCAGCCGTCACCGTCTGCCCAGCACTACCAAATCAACGCACCTTTTCAAATCTTCACTTCAAATCTTTCGGGTTTCATCATGAAAGCAGAAACGGTTGTCGTATTATTCAGGGGTTTTTCACTAGTTAGTACTATGTGCGAGAGAGTTCTTAAAATTTCGGACGCAATCAAACTAAAAAGGTCCACATATACTATTGCATTTACGCATTTTTTTCAAAGCCTCCTTCAAAAGTACAGGAGTATGGGAAGACTGATAATCGTATGTGTTAGGCATGGATACGAGAGCGATGGACCATTCAGCAAGGTGAGAAATTATTGAGCACTACAGGACCTGCTTTTTTATCAAAATTTCACGCAAAGCACGTTAAACCTATCGAAAACCCTCAAAGAAATTGAGGAATGAGAGATAAAAGTTCATGGTTTACATTTAAAACAGTAGATTCAAACTTCGCCCGCTGGCAAAAAAACCATAATCGACATAAACCGCAAATCAGGCATTGATTAGTCATTACCATGACTTTTATGTGACTATGTTGTATGGAAGTTCTACCAGGAGAAAACAGTAAACTGATTATGAACAGCAAAAATTACCGCGCGCAAAATTATACCAAAAAGTACGATAAATAAAAATTGTTTTAAAACATGATGAGATTGTTACTTTTGTAAGTGGGTGGGTTTTTGAACGATTCTTCGGAGATAGACTAGGAAGAGTGAACCATAAGCGCAGAAATTCCGTAGTTTCTAAAACCTCGGCCATAAAACCGTCTAATTGTGAAAAGATATTTGATGTTTATGAGAAAAGGCTTTACATAGAGAGTGCATGGATTTGAAGTTTGAACTCACATAGTTAGAGAGGTCTTTTATGCCGTACGCAAACCTAGCTTTATCCGGTTGCAAGTGTCCGGTGTAAGCCCGCCTTTTGTCCAGCCAGCAGTCGTCAATGTTGATGTATTCATATCCGACGGAGGCATACCCCTCCGAAACCACAAGATCCGCCATCGTTCGGAAAAGTTTATCACTATGACAATAAAAAAACAAATCATTGATAGACGATGAAAAATAGCGGATAATGGATTAACAATTTTTGAACATGAGTCAACGGCTGAATTAATCTATTAAAATGAATGATAAAGTGACATTTAAAGATAGGTCATTACAGTCATCGATAGAAATGGCATGGTCAGCAACCTCTCTTTCATCTTTATAAGAAGCTAGATGAGCCAATTAGGTGTCCCACACTTCTACGGCGAAAATATGCGTTGAAATCTTACGAAATCATTCGAGCAACTATAACAGCTTGGGAGTTACTTTTGTTGCGTCCCAAAAAATTGAAGGCGGACTAAAGAAGTGGAGCTAGCTGTGAGCACAACAGGTTCATTCAACGTCTCGCTCGCGCAACATTTAAGCACCTGTGCGTTGGGCTTTACAGGCAAGGCTTAGCAGTGCGTTACAGTATCTACATGAAAGAGGAATCTACGGCGGCAAAATTTACAGCACCGCTTTTTTTAAGAAGTTAGGACGAAAAAACCAATTTTGAGATGTCGACAGAAAAATTATTCTTGCTATCGATTTGGTCCATTTCTCTACCTATACAGGGTCAATTGCATTAGAATCCGTCAATTTTAAGCCAATTATATTGTGGATTAAATTTTAAAAGGCTTTTTCTTTCCGCAGAATTTCAACTTGAGTAGAGGTAAAATAGACTAAAAATATAAAAGAAAGGAGCTGTATAGGCGGCCAAAAGAATCATGCTTGTGTAGGTATTGATTTCTTTTCAGTGATTAGCGTAACCACCCGAACGATGTATACTATAGAGTCGGAAAGTTGGTGGTAGCGTTGAAAGAGGACTTACCTAATACAGTTTTCTGGATCATTTTTACAGTCGATGTTGCAGCGGAAGCGCTCCCAGGCGAGCCAGCCCATGGGCGGCGTGCGCGCCAGACCGTTGTCGAGAGCCCGCGTGATGGAGAAAAGGAAAACGAGCAACCCTGAAGCCCATGTTAACAGTTTGTACATCCTAATAGCTGCAACAGACACAACCCAGATGATTAGTGACACTTGCGCCAAGATCGAAAGTGATCTCAGTTACACTTTATGAGCACGCTGCCACGCTCCTCAAGCTCCATGTACAGGGTCATCCACACTGCCGTCACAGCGAAAAGAGCAGTAAGTGCACGCTGAGATGAACCCCGAGACATGTACGTAGAAGCATGCACTGGAAAAAAAAACCACATTGGATCTAGAGTCCAGACTCTTAAAAACATCAACAAGAAAAGATACTCTTGGTTCAATCAGATTTAAGCTTGAATCAAGAACCAAGCCTCTTCATTTGAGCGGATTTCCTTTTGATTTAAGCTAAAATCTGATTGAATCAAGAGTCCTTTTTCTTGTCAATGTTTTCAAGAGTCTGGACTCTAGATACAATGTGTTTTTTTTCCAGTGTGTAAACTACACTCGGTACGCAAAATAATATTTTCTCAGACGTTCCATCAACGAAACATAAGTTCCTCGGGACGCAATCTGTATGATCGACGTTGGTTCGTGCAAACAAACTTGATTTTTCGCGACGCTCAGGGATAATCGCAACAGTTGATTGCGACTCGCTTGAATTGCTTTTTCGAGACTCTACGGCGGAGGGAATCTAAAACTGTGTAATGATATTATGCGTGCGTGATGGATGTAGGTCGGCGATGCTCAAGCCTGAGTTGTCACAATAGAGGTACGTGATCAAGACTTGAGTATATCTAAGTTCCACACTCTCTCAAGGACTCACAACTCCTCACCGATCCTACTTCGCCACGGCTGACTATTTTATCGGAGTGTCCCAAAATCTTCCGAAATTTCACGCAGGAAGTTTGATACTCTTGATGGGCCCGATTCTTATTCTGGGCTTGTCTCATATTACTCAACTGAAATTGGGTCATGGCATACGTTGTTAAGAATGTAAATAACATTTCGGTGGATGAGATCTGAATACTTTATGTAGTTTTGGTCAGGTTGTTGTTTTTCCTCCTTTTTCCTTTCTTTAACATTTTACGTTGGCGACAGTGTATCGCGTTTTATTTTGATCAATGTGCCACCGCAAGAGGAATCACTGAGACCAAAGCACCACGTTTTATGCTGCCGTTTCAAAATTCTATTCAGAAAGCTATCAAACAACGCAAAGCTTTGCACTTTAACATTAGAAGTCGTAACAGACATCAACAAATTCGTTTTGAGAGCAGAGATAGACGAAGAAACGAAAATAATTATATTTTGTAGTTGGAAATAGCAGCCATTGAGAAGGCTATCCAAACAACGAAAAGCTCGAGGATCAACTCCTAAGCACTATGTTAACGTGTAGGTACATATGTGCACTCGGCACTGCTTAAAAGGAACATGAATTGATAAAATGGTATCATTCGTGTTATTGTCATTTGAAAAATATCGTCAATTTTGCTAATCATATATCTTATCCAAGAGTTGAACTCCAAATTTCGCGCTGTGTGAATAACTTTCTGCGGAAAATATTGAAGAGAAAAAACTAAAGGAAGTACTTGATCAGTACCTCGTTTAGTACTCCATTATTGTCAAATGTAGAAGAGCGTAAAGACGCCTCTTTTATTTTTCCACATTGAACAACCCTCTCCTACACTTGTCTAATAATGTTCTGTTCAACACAAAGTTGGATCACAATGTAAGGTATGAATATTGAATATGAGCGATTGCGGTCAGATGGCGCCGCGCCGTCTAAATTCTAGTTGATCTTCAAAAATTTCCTTTCAGAAATTTCACACAGAAAATAGATTTCTGATGAATGCTGACCCCGCGTAAAATTCTAACGACTGCAAAACGCCACACGATTTTTTCCTTGCCAACGGATACTAGATTTACCGCTTTTCATGAATCAATCAAATAACAATCGCCTGGCTAAGATTCTTATTCAATATTGTCGAAGGAATTCAAATTGAAGCAATCAGCCGAAACGAGTCCTATGAAGGAAAGCTCTGGTACCTCTAGAACTAGACCAAGGTGCTTGATATGATTGCAGCGACAAAAAAGATCAAACAATGCTGATGAGAGATAAACGAAAACAAAAGGCTTTGTCGGAGCGGCATGCAGTGGTGATCGCAAGCAATCGACAGTGCGAAAACCACTCAGGCGAGACGCAGACTCAGTACCATAAGGCAGGTATTGAATAGTGTGTCCAGACTGATAGAGAGATTACCCTTGTGCGGAGGTGACGAGTGAAAACTTCCTATTTGAAACGTAAAATTTAAGTTCATAATTATATGTATGTATGTATGTATGTATGTATGTACATGAATTTATTTTTTCTAAAGAGTTGTCTCAGTGATGAACAATCAAAACAAGTAATTTTGACACTCCAAATAATTTGTTCTATACGCCAGGTAATTGTTACCCAGTAACTTGAATTCTGGTTAAAATAATAGAAGTTTTTACCTTCTAAGATTCATCCTGCAGAAGCCTGGTGCATACTTTTAAAGATTAAGAGACTGTCAAATCATATTGTATTTTATTAAACTACAAGAAAAAGTGCGGCTATAAAATCATATTCTTCTTAATGATACTTTTTGAAGCTCCAAATTTACCCATATTGCTTAATTTATTTAAAGTAGTAACCAATCAAAGGCTCCTTTTCCCTTTGATGTCAGGTTTCTTTTTTGAAAACTGAGTATCCTACGCTCACATTTTATACTTTAGTATTTCATTTTGTAATTCCTTTTTGCAAGAGGATTTTTATTTAGTATCTTACACTTATTTTTGATATTTTCTTAGAAGAGATTTTTTCGAATGTGGTATAGATTTGGTAAAGATTTTTACGATTATACCACTTTGATTTGTCCATTACGGTGCGCGTCTATTTTACCATGATTTTTACGCAGATTTATCTTATCCGAAACAACGCGACAATCGATAATCCAACTGCTTTCTTTCAAAATGACAGCCGCTTACTTTTGTATCCAGTCGTTCAATTCTCTGGACTTCCGTACATTAATACTCACGAAAAGAAGTTGTTTCACCCCCAAAATGGGGAGTATGACCTGTTTCTCTATTTTCTGAATGGCTCTGTGCCTTGTATGCTAAATATTACAAAAGATGCATGCTGTTAGGTCTAATACACCTAGAAATATTATTGTCTCAAGTCTGGTCTAAAGACACACGATGTTTAACCTCATCATTGATATAATATGATATCACGGATGCCAGCGTGGAACGGTTGAAAAATATTCGCCCTCAGCGGGCTGATTATTGAAGTAGATAGACAAAGCTATAGACAAAACAGACGACGGAAAAATGGATCGATACTATTGACTGTAACGGGTAGTTGTTATAGACTAAGGAGGAAAAACGATGGACAAACCGCGGGGTCTCTTTGGTGTTACTGTTCGTTATCCTATTACTTACCTCCTTTGTCCAATGAACCACTAAACAAGGTACGAATTTTACCATTCTAATACATGATTCTTGACCAAAATTTCACGTAAAACACAATGCGTACAACGAAAATGACCGAAATCAACTCCTTACGGAGATATACATGATTCTTGATGCGTGAATTCAAATCACCCGCTAATGAAAACTCAATGCTCTACGTGATTCTCATCGCGCGCTGAACGTTATCATGACAGTCTCTGCGATATAAAAATCTGGCAACCTTGACGCTTTGGCTCAGCTGTAGCAAATTGCTTACGTTTGAACAGCACATGGTGGGAAATGAACATTTCTCGATTGAGAAACTTGCTGAAACCGTTGTAGTGCGCCATTTGATTCACGACGAGCTTTGAGTTTCTTGTGAGCGACCAGTTCAAATTCCTAGTAACCAATGCGAATTAAAAAAATTAATATCTTCGTTAGGAGTTGGGTTCAGTAATTATCGTTGCGCGAATCGTATTCTACGTGAAATTCTGGTTGAGAAACATGTATCAGAATGCTTCAATTCGGACATTGTCTAGTAGTCCATTATGTCCATTGAAACTACCCTCTTCCACCGATAGGATCTTTGCATTTCTGTATTTCGTCTTTTTTATCTATCGCTTTTTCTATCCATTTCAAAATCGGCCCGCTGTCAGTAGCGTGGCGTGAATTGCGATATATCGATTGTTACGCCATTAAAACCTATGGTAAAGAATCGATTATTAGGGTGTTCGCTGCGAACACCCTGTTTATTGATCCTTTTCCATAGGTTTAAATGGCATAACAATCGATATATCGCAAAGCACGCCACGCCACTGCCGCTGATGCGAAACATTGGCAACGGTGCAACTGATGGATCATGAAAGTGCGAGTGAGGGACGACGGTGGGACCGACTTGGATGTATATTATGGGTTAGCGGTCTTGTGTGCTTGAGATGCCTGGATCCCCCTATTGTTAGCCACTGTCGAAATATGTATCAAGTTCTCGATCTCAACGCCACGCTCCTCGTTCTCACCGGCGGCGGCTTTGACCCAGCACGCTACCGCGCACCTCTAATAGGAGTTGCCAGCTAGTCATTTAATTAATTGCTTTCCATGACGAGGAGTAATTAAATGTTATGCATTCGCAAATTTTTCAGGTTGGCTTTGAAGCTGTTTTTGCCAGGGATATAACGAGAACAGTGATTAATTTTTAATAACTCTTGCACGTTAAAATAAAGAGTTCAGCGTGATGTATCACCGGATTTTTGCCGTTCCACCTTGCAAAGAAACTAAAAAAGTAAGGAGTTCAGTTAGACAGTTGGCAAGTTCCAAAAGGAATTTTTGTCATTTGTCCAAATATTGGGAAAGTAGTTTTAAATTCTTTAAGGAATCTCGTTGATTTGATGATTTGACAAGACGAGGCGTTTTTCAGTTTGAGCTACTCAGCTCAAAGAGATTTACATGGCACCAGCAAAACACTCTCTAGATAAAATTTCTGAAAAATGTTCGAATGTATAATTAGAGCGTGGAAAAAGTAGGAAAAATACCTGATATATTTTAACCTGGAAGTTTCAACAAATTTCTAACAGAAAACACAATGTCAGTCATCGCACGAACACCGCCA